AAAATTCATAAAAATCGTTCATTTATCCGCGTTAATTTGATGAATAAATTAAATATTGATCGGTCTTCAATTTTCGGTACTGCTTGATTCTCTAATTTCTTTATAAGAGAATAAAAATTGATACGAATCGTTCCTTTATCCGACTTAATTTATTGAGTAAATCAGAGGGGTAAGTACCTGCAAGATGAAAACAACTTGTCATTGCACTTGGACAATTTTTTGACACTGATTTAAAGTATTAATCGATATTCGATTTTCGGTACTGATTTACTCTTTCATTTCTCTATAAGACCAAAGAATTTGTACGAATCGTTTATCCGCGTTAATTTGATGAATAAATTAAATATTGATCGGTCTTCAATTTTCGGTACTGACTGATTCTCTAATTTCTTTATAAGACAAGAAAAATTCATACGAATTATTCGTTTATTCATTCGAGTTAATTTGTTGAGTAAATTAGAGGGATAAATATCTGAAAAATGAGAACAAATTGTCATTGCACGTGTCCAATTTTTTGACATTGATTTATGGTATTAATCGATATTCGATTTTCGGTACTGATTTACTCTTTCATTTCTCTATAAAAAAAAAGAATTCATACGAATCGTTCATTTATCCGCGTTAATTTGATGAATAAATTAAATATTGATCGTGCACGTTGGGAGGAGGGAAAGGGAGAGGGATGGAGATAGGAGGTAGAAAGGCTGCTCGGAGAGGTGGGAGGGAGAGGGAGGATGAGAGTTGAGGGAGTCGAAGGGCGAGAGGGAGGAGGAGGCGGAATAAAAGGATGAGAGGAAGAGCGAGGGAGAGAGTGTGAAGGAATGGAATTGTTCGGGATCATAGCGTGCACAGAAGTTTTCTACAAGAATTCAAATATTCTGCTAGCCTTGACATCACGAAGCTTGCGCGTGATCTATGCGTGCTCGGTTAGCGGGGATCTCGTCGCCGAACGTTGGGCCACGGGATCACCGGCGAGGAACGCTCGAAACAATGTTTATTGCCGCGTATTTGCCGTGTATGTCGAGCAGACCCCGAACATGCGATCACGGCGTGTGATTACGGCCAACGAATTTCAGCCAATCCTTATCTGCTAGCTCGAGCTGAAAAAAAGATATAATTGAGACCGAGATTTCATCGCGCTCTCTGCTTATTTGTTCCTTCTACCGAGCGGTCTTTTTACTTTCGATTTCATAGAGCGAGCGCGATCTTCACTAAGTTTTCTGTCCGCACGATCGGTGCTATTACTTCGTCGTGGCTGCATCGTTGCACTCGGTTGCGATTTCGGGAAGTTGCTCTGTTCTTCGCGCCTGGGTCGCACGCCACTCTCTGACGCTCGATCGCGTACCCACTGGTATATCGAGCACCCGCCGCGTTTAACGTGCATTCCTTTGCGTGGCTTGCATTGCCCGATTTGCAATTGTCTCCATCTTTCGTGCGCCGTCAGCGAACGTCGCGTCCGCGAGCGCCGCTTGATCGCTCGATTGTTCGCCGCCGTGTACGGCTATTTCTTTGTACAATAGAATAAACTTATTTTGTGTGTCGTCATACTCGCTCGGCTTTCTACACTCCTATTCCTATAGCGATTCAGATCGCGTACTGGCGTCCTTCGCGCACAGAGCTGTGCGATACCGCGCGATCGCCGTCGGCTGAACCCGACGGGAACAGGAATGAATGGAGGAAAGCGAAAATCGGCGGTAGGAAATAAGAATTATAGGAGTAATTATAGGAGTAAGAATTATAGGAGCGGCATAGAAATATAGATATATACATATGTATAAGAATAGATGATAAGCGAACAATTAATTATAAGAGATAAGCGAGCGAGTAAATGTAAGATATTTGTAAAGCAGATTTAAGGAGGGGCAGGGGATGGGAGTGTGTGTGTATGTGTGTGTGCGCGAGGGGGAAGAGGCGAGCGTTATAGGAAGTAAGGAGAAGAGATTATATTGGAATTTGTAACCCCGCCAGGGGAATCAATAAAGTATACATGCAATTAAATATTGATCGGTCTTCAATTTTCGGTACTGATTTATTCTTTCATTTCTTTATAAGAAAAGAAAAATTGATACGAATCATTCGTTTATTCAAGTTAATTTGTTGAGTAAATTAGAGGAGTACATACCTAAAAAATAAGAACAAATTGTAATTGCACGTGGACAATTTTCTGACGTTGATTTACGGTATTGACCGATATTCGATTTCAGTACTGATTTACTCTCTCATTTTTCTATAAAAAGAGAAAAATTGATACGAATCGTTCATTTATCTGAGTTAATCTGATAAATAAGTTAGATATTGATCGGACTTCGTTTTCGGTACTGATTTATTCTTTCATTTCTCTATAAGAAGAGAAAAATTGATACGAATCGTCCGTTTATCTGAGTTAATTTGTTGAATAAGATTAGAGGGATATGTACCTGAAAAATAAGAACAAATTGTAATTGCACGTGTGCAATTTTTTGACACTGATTTATGGTATTAATCGATATCCGATTATTAGTACTGATTTAGTCTTTCATTTCTCTATAAGAAAACGGAAAATTAATACGAATCGTTCATTAATCCGCGTTAATTTGATAAATAAATTAGGTATTGATCTGCCTTCGATTTTCGGTACTGATTTATTCTCTCATTTCTTTATAAGAGAAGAAAAATTGGTACGAAGCGTTTGTTTAACCGAGTTAATTTGTTTAGTAAATTACTGCTGTAACTACCTGAAAAATGAAAACAAATTGTCATGGGACAATTTTCTGACACTGATTTATGGTATAAATCGGTATTCGATTTTCGATACTGATTTACTCTTTCATTGCTCTATAAGAAGAGGAAAAATTGATACGAATTGTTCATTTATCCGCGTTAATTTTTTTTTTAATTGTATATAAATGGTCCATGGGACGATTAAATATTCAAATACATGTTGCCGTATCAAAGTCTCCTCTATAATAAACGATTTGACGCATCTGGAGACGCATGATGTATCGTTGCCCGCATCCCATTCCCTTCGTCCTGCTTCCCTGTATAAAATGTCGAATTGTAACGTATTAAAAAGTATTGACATTTTGAATATGTCTGAATTCTGAATCTTTGTGATCCGAAGAAAAGGATTGAAAAGTATTAGTTTCCATTAAATTTTACTGCGCTAAATGCGAGACGGTCTCTTTCACCCGAGTGCCTCACCAGGGAAATTTCTCTGGTACGCTAAATCCCGTAAGGTCATCAGTCTTTGTAGTATATCTCGTCGGTGCATAAGGTTTATATTACCTGTACATACATATTTTGAAACATTTTCTTTGGATATTATATCAAACGGATTTTGCGTGTCACGTAATATCCTTCGGACTACAAGGACATTATTATTTTGATCAATTTGATTTCTTTGGTATTCATTGAATTATCCAGAACGCGCAACTGCCATGTTGAACGACTCAATTGTCGTGTGAAATGTTTCGATTTTCACAAATTCATATAAAATTTTTCATTTTTCACTGATTCACAGAAGTCTTTCACTTTTTATTAGTTCACGCTAGAGAAAAGATTCATGATCGCTGCCCCGAGCGGCTGCAACGCTTTTCGAATTATCTATGTCGGTGCGCTTTTACTCCTCAGATTTCTGTCATTAATAACTCGATAATTATTGCGAATCTCGCAAAATGGTATGGGACTTTTATGTTTGTCTTAACCCAATCTACCCTCACACTTCGGGTTGGCAGCTAATTATCGGATACTTCGAATGATCTTCATGATATTAATCATACACAATGTCAATTTTTGTTTTTGCACATGTTAACATGTTAATTCATGTTATAAACGCGTAACAATGTGCGAGACCGTGCTTGTCAAGTACGCTATTATGATTGTAGCACGGACATAAACCGCCTAAAAGTGGATGTAGCACGGACTGCCACCACATACAGGTTTTACCGCCGAAACCTGAAAGTGGATGTAGCATCGTAGTTCTTCTCTCAAAATGGATACAGATGACGTCCTTTCCCAGTGCGGAAAGTCGATGTCGTCGAAAGCTCCGTGTTGGCTGCTCTCACGTTCCTTTCTGCTGTCAGTGATGGTGAATAGGCGAAGGGACAGACTACAGAGGGATAAAAGTCACGCACGCGCAGTACAGTTCTCAACACTGGTGAGTTCTTAGTCGCGTGCACATCAAAAAGAATCTTCAAGCAGAAAGGTAAGTCTTTGAGCATATCGACCATGATGGCACACTGCCATCAAGTGAGCCTGATGCTTAATAATATATCCACTTTATTCTACAATCGGTAATTTTTAGCATTTGTTTCTGTACATTATTAAATTTCAGAAAGAGGATAATAGAAATTCAATTTTTTCTGTGCGCTTAATGAAGATTTCGAATTTTCATTATAGACATGACGGAAATTCAATTTTCATTGTGAGTCTAATTCCGAATGTTGATAACCAATATTTTTTTGCAAAGTTTATATTTAAAGTTAATAAATATAAATATAAAATTTATGTTTACGTATATGTTTTATATACTATTAAATTAATATTAGATATTATTTTTAATTGTATATAATAATTGCATGTAGATATAACAATGTTATACATTGTATTACGTACCCTCAATAAATTTATTGCATTTTATTTTTAAATGTTCGAAATTAAGAAACGAAATTTTTTTTCCTAAGAATTATCCTTGTTTCTAAAAGAGTGAAACAAGTTATAAGCTTAACAGTTGATTCGTCCCACCGCATCGCATCTGCTGGTTTTTTAGTCTTCTTTCACTAATAAATCAAATAGTTATTCGTAAAATTATATTCGGTTTGATACGTTTTACGTACCCAACAAGCGTTTTACGTACCCACACAAGCGTAGCGTGGCCAACATCATATACCCGATGTAGCGTAAAGAATCGTCGAGGTGGCGTTAGTCATGAAGGTAATAATGGAATCTGCTTTATCTGCAGCATATCCTATATATTTTTATTATTCTATATATACTGATACATTGTATATACCTAGCAGTTCTTGTCTGCACGATCATTAGCAACCATCACGGCCTGCGAGGTGGTATTATTTTGCTACGTTGTGAAATATTCTTCATAAGACGACTCGTTGTAAAAATATAATTGTGAACAATTAATTTTGGGTGTGTTTGTGTTTGTGTGCTTTGTTGTTACTTACTAAGTGGGGCATCATTCATAAAAATATTTCATTAAGAATTAATTGTGAGAGAATATGTAAAACAAGAGACGTTAAATCCTGATTGCTTGTTCTTTCCTTTTTCTCAATTCGTACGCTTGTTTTACCACAGCGTCGAATTTTAAACAACTATTTTTCTAAATTTTATAAACTTCCAATATTACATAAAATATCAATTATACAAAAAAAACTACATTCTACCAACATCGCAGAATTTAGTCTCATACCGCATTAGTCAATGTGTGCGCATCATACGCGTTTTAAACGTTCCGATTACCTTTCTATTCTTACAAACATATAATATATATTTACCGTAAAAAATATATCAAATTGAAATAATTATATTGATAGAAAGGAAAGGTACTGTTACGATCATAATCTCGCACTCTGTTACTCATTAATGCGCTACTTAAGATACGCGCAACGTCAAACTTTGCAAATCATTATTAAAGTTACATGTAAATTGTCGATTCAAATAAATATAATCCGTCTTGCATTTTCAAAATCGAGTCTCAAAGATAGTTATCTTATCTAGATGTATTGTGAGCGCATATATTTTTATTATCCCTATCTTTGTGCAGCCGACTTTTATAGATATCGTAATCGGCAAAAATCAAAATAGCAATGTTTCAACTTTCTTCTTAAAAAAAACTTTTTTATTATCCCTATCGTTGTGTAGCCGTCTTTTATAGATATCGTAATCGGCAAAAAGCAAGATAGCAATGTTTCAACTTTCTTCTTAAAAAAACTTTCTTAGCTTAGCTTCTGTAAGAAAATTCCGTATTCGCCGGAGAGGAAAACTGTTGTCGTGTTCAACTAAAATGCGACGTACCGAGAGGATCCTTATCTTCATCTGGCTGCTGTGCGTTCAGCCGATAGCCATGATGAATCACATAGTGACTGCGCGAGAAGATACTTGTCATCTGCCAAGGGCTTTAATCGAGGAGATAGACTCGTATGCGCCGATTGTGCAGAGAATAATCAACGAGACTATGCGAGGCTCTTTCAAGGGCACCACGTGGCGAGACTTGGCGGAGTTTGTCGATAAATTTGGCCCGAGGTTCACCGGTACCCAGGTCCTCGAGGATTCTATCGATTATGTGTTGAACAAATCGATCAGTTTAAGTCTGGAAAATGTTCACGGCGAAGTGGCGACTGTACCACGTTGGATCAGGTAGGAAATAAGATAATGTGTGAGATAAAATATCTGTAAAAACGATCTTTAAAGTTAATACATGACGGTACCACGTGTCGTATTACAAGGGGTTTATCAGTGAAACGCACATTTTTGGAAATGGATCGAAAGAAAGAGCAGGCTCGAATCTGTCGCGTAGAATCTTTTACTCTTACAATCGAGTTTTCATTTACTTTCTTTAGTCCTCTTTCTTTAGGCAACTGAACATATGGTTTATTTGACTTTGAATTTTTGAATTTATAGCTTCTTTTTACGATTCATAATTTTTGCAATAAACCGAGTTTGCGGGCCCAGTTTATAGCTTCGAAAAATTACTGATCATAAAATCACGCTATAACTCGAACGCATGAATTTATATAACTTTTATCATGCCAATATCGACTAAATTTTTTTTTATTATTCTTCAGTATCACTCTTCAGTATCAGATTCACTCTCGAAGCGAGGTGCGTTGAAACGTTTTATGATACGGTAAAATAGTAAAACATGGAACATTAAATCATCTGTCCATGAAGATGAATCTTCAGCAAAAAGTAACGAATGTTATTTACGACGTAATCTAATTCGACGTATTGAATAAGTTCTCGCTGTTTCCCGACAGATGATGTTATCTTAACCTTTTTGCATCGGGCAATATTACAGCCAACTTCATTGTGAAGCTCCACCATTAGGTTCGAAGTGACAGTATATGTTATTCCACCGAAGCGTAAACAACATATTTTTTCATAGCATTTAACATGTCGAATTTCGTGCCAAAAAAAGAGTATTTGAGGGGAATTTTATTGCATTACTTTAAAAAAAAAAAACCTGCAGCTGAAGCATATAGAATTCTAGTGGAGACTTACGGCGACCATGCTCTGTCGGAAACAACATGCAGAGATTGGTTTAGATGCTTTAAAAATAATGATTTTGATGTTGAAGATAAAGAACGCTCTGGCGCACCGAAAAAGTTTGAAGACGAAGAATTGGAAGCATTACTCGATGAAGACCCATGTCAGACGCAAAATGAACTTGCAGAATCATTAGGAGTTGATCACACAACAGTTGCCAAACGTTTAAAAGCATTAGGAATGATTCAAAAGCAAGGAAATTGGGTGCCTGTACGAATTGAAGCCGAGAGACGTCGAACGGCGTTTTTTCACGTGTGAACAGCTGCTCCAACAGCAGAAAAGGAAAGGTTTTTTGCATCGTATCGTGACTGGCGATGAAAAGTGGATACACTACGATAACCCGAAGCGTAGAATATCGTAGGGTAATGACCCGGCCATGCATCAACATCGACGGCAAAGCCGAATATCTATGGTTCTAAGATCATGCTCTGTATTTGGTGGGATCAGCCGGGTGTAGTATATTATGAGCTCCTCAAACCCAATGAAACCATCACGGGAGATCGCTATCGACTATAATTGATGTGTTTGAGCCGAGCATTGAAGGAAAAATGGCCGCAATACGAGGAGAGACACGACAAAGTAATTTTGCAACATAACAACGCTCGGCCACATGTTGCAAAACCGGTCAAAACCTACTTGGAAACGCTCAAATGGGAAGTCTTACCCCACCCGCCGTATTCACCGGACATTGCTCCTTCCGATTACCACTTGTTCCGATCGATGACTCATGGCCTGGCTGAGCAGCACTTCCATTCTTATGAAGATGCCAAAAAATGGGTCGATTCGTGGATAACCTCAAAAGATGAATCGTTCTTTCGACATGGTATTCGTATGCTACCAGAAAGATGGGAGAAAGTAGTGGCTAACGATGGACAATACTTTCAATAACATGTTCTTTACTAATATTTTTAAATAAAGCATTCATTTTCATGAAAAAGCAGCGAGAACTTATTCAAGTTCCCAATAATAACACAACAATTACGACTTTCAGAGGCTCTGAATCTGCGACCCTTTTGCAACCAAGGCGAAAAGATCTCGCGATGTTGGGCTTGGGTTACAGCGTGGGTACTCCGAAAGAGGGAATAACTGCCAACGTCATTGTGGTGGAAAGTTTCTCGGAGCTTAAGAGCAGAGCGAAAGAGGTAGAATTGTGTTGGGTTGGCAGATGCTGTTTTACACCACGTAACGATAAAGAGTCAGTCAAAGTCCTTGATTTAATCAGGTCCTAGGAAAGATCGTCGTGTACAATCAAAAGTTCATCTCGTACGGGGAGACCGTAGAGTACAGATCTGCAGGAGCCACGAAAGCTGCGGAATTGGGCGCCGTGGCCGCTCTGATCAGGTCGGTAACGCCATACTCACTGTACACTCCTCACACCGGCATGATGAGCTACGGAGAGAACGTCACCAAGATCCCAGCTGCCTGTATAACCGTCGAGGATGCAACTATGTTGGAGAGGATGGCGGATCGAGGTGAGAAACCGGCGGGAAACCAAACTCTACGGATAAGTTCCGATAAATCTTTAGCCTTTTGCTGCGTTCTCCAAGGCCAACACTGTGATTTATCACCAAAAATGTTTCTCGCGCCGCCAGAAGTCGCAATAACGCTTCAAGTTAAGGATCACGGCGTTCAATAATGCGGGAACGTCTTTTGCTAAATATCAGAGCTCAAAATACAGTTTTTCGGTTTCAGAACAAGAGGCTGAAGCATTCTATGTGACTATCTGACGCGATTGATTCTCTGTTTAGGAGAAAATATCATGATAAATCTGAAAATGCAAGCGCAAACGTACCCGGACACGCACTCGCGAAACGTCATAGCGGACATCACCGGCTCCAGCGCGGCTGAAAAGACGGTCGTCGTTTCTGGACACATAGACAGCTGGGACGTCGGACAAGGCGCTTTAGACGACGGAGGTGGCATTTTTATATCTTGGAAAGCATTGCAGTTACTGAAGCGCCTTAATCTACGAGCACGGAGGACAGTAAGGTGGCTTGAAATACGTCAAAATAGTCTCATCTTAAAAGTAAATTACACAGTCCCACAAAAGAAAGTGGTCGGTGCGTAAAACCGGACAAGTATATTCTTATGTATTTTGATCCGCTGAATCCGAATACGAGGTACAATTTGCAAATATAAAGATGGTGCGAGAGGGATATAAAAAAATATAATACTTTTAAGAAATCTAACTACACAATTGTAAGGAGCGTCAAAACCATACAACTTTTATCTGAAACATTTTTTCGTATCTTTTATAGTTTTTGAAGTACGAGGGTAGTCCCAGAAGTATCTGACCTAACAAAGAAAACATAAAAAATTTGGGAGAAAATATCTTTATTTCTCTACATGGTCTCCTTTTAGCTCAATACACTTTTCCCAGCGATGTTCAATAGCTTCGATACCCTGTTTATAGTGGGAATCGTCGAGCTCCTCAAAATAGCCATCAAGCCATCTTGGTCCATTGTTTTGACTGTTCCTTCGTCTCAGGTATGAAGTGATGAACTCATGTTTCATCCATAGTTATGAATAGACGCAAAAACTCGGCTTTATTACTGCGAAACTTCGCCAAACACTCGATTGAAACATCCTCACGGCGCTGTTTTTGTTCCAATCGCGGCACCCATCTTGCGCACAGCTTTCTCATGTCCAAATTTTCAGTCAATATGCGATGTACAGCACTTTTTGAAATGCCTACCATGTCTGCTAACTCGCGCACTTTCAGTCGACAGTCATGCAATACCATTTTGTGGATTTTCTTCATCATTTCTAGTGTGGTCACCTCATTTGATCGACCACTGCGATGTTCGTCTTGGCAGCTCGTACGGCCTTGTTTAAACTCTGCCACCCAATATTTTATTGTTGTAAACGAAGGATCAGAATAGAATCTAGCTCCGCTTCGATATTGGTTGGACTGCGGCCTTGCAAATGAAAGTATTGTATCACATAACGATGATCAATTTATTCCATGTTTACAAATTTACTGAGAGCGTTCACTATTGATGGCTGCCAAACAAATACTAAACAACGTAGTGTCGTCAAACATTAAACATAAGCTTTATAAGGTTGGTACTTTCTACCATAGTCATTCTTTTCAAACAACAACCGCTATCTATACGTCAGGTCAGGTACTTCTGGAACTACCCTCGTATACTGTCTGAAAACCAGGTATACCGCTATACGTTGTAAGGGTGATTTTAACCCCTAAATATGAAATTGGGCATGTATAAAAAAATACGTGTCTCTTATTTTTAGCTACTCCACAACATATAATATATTGGGTGAGTGCAAAAGTTCGTGCGGAGTTTCAATAGATGGAGTTATAAACGTCGTAAAGTGTTGTCATTAATACTTCCATCTACATATTATACGTTGGGAAAAAATTATAGAAAACGATGGAGAATATATCATTGATTGAATAAAGATTTTTGTTTGCCTAATCACTGTGTGACTTTTACTCACAAACTCCGCACGAACTTTTGCACTCACCCAATATATTATATAAAGCTAGCAATTGTCCAATTCTGACCTCGGATTCGGATTCAGTGAACCAAAATACATAAGAATATACTTGTCCGATTTTAGGCATCGAACACTTTTTATTGTGGGGCTGTGTTATCAATAAGCCGCTATAAAAAAATGTCTGTGTTCGTTTCTCATTTATTCCCGCGAGTTCCATTAGCTAGTTATGCAGCAGTAACTGCCGCTTCTGAAACGTCTTGTACATATCGCAGAATGATAATGTGGACTGCCGAGGAACTCGGGCTCATTGGGGCTCGTCAATACATAGAGAAGCACGCGGCGGAGAATGGAAACCTGCAGTTTGTGATGGAGTCCGATTTAGGCACATTTGCGCCTGTTGGCCTCGAATTTACCGGTGACAAGATGACGCAGTGTATACTTGAGAGAATAATGCGGTTAGTTTCACAGTTTCTCTCGCAGGTTCCGTTGACATTCTCGTTAATAACAAGCATCTGTTTTTTGCGCTAATCGCCATATAAATCGAGTCTCTTTACGCAAACGATGATTCACGGAAACGTACTTTCGCGAATGCTTGAGATCGATCTGTTCGCTATCTTTTTTTAACGTACTACTTCAGGAAACAAATGCATGAGACTTTTCTGCCCTTAGGCTGTTGGCTCCGTTGGATGACTTGAAACTGAAAAGTCCCTGTACACAGCCCGATATACAATTCTGGGTCAACGCTGGCGTACCAGGCGGTGGTCTATGGACGAAAAACGAGAAATACTTCTATTATCATCATACGAACGCGGACACGATGCTGATCGAAGATCCAGTGGCACTGGACAAGAACACAGCCATTTTCGCAGCGGTATCGTTCGTTCTGGCGGATATTAGCGTTGATCTACCTCGACACAACAACACTTATTTTTCCAAATAAATACTTGAATAACGATATATAATATTTCTTCGATTCATAATGGATACAGTAAGCCGTTAATTATTGCCTTTAACCCAAAGCTATGACGTGATTTTTGGCTGAAGGCGTTTCCAGCTGCTAGTTGCAAAATTTGTTCTTCAGCTTTAAGCGAGCTGGCCAGATTCCAGCTGTTAAGGCCGTGGAGAGCGGCTTTTGCTAGAAATTACAGTAGAGCGAGAAGCTAAAGGCTTGCTGCCCTCATTGCGAACCAGGATTTGTAATAATCACATGCAAAAGTTGTTAAGTTTCGATAAGAAATCAGTTTGACATGTAATATAAATTACAATAAGACGTACATGTTTTCTTTATTTCAAATATACGTTATATACAATAACAACATAGAAACAATTAGGCCTACCGTAAGTGACTACTCCAAGCTCCTCGAAAGCATCACGGAGATGCGCTTAATCGGACGAATGGGATTTCGCGAATATACCGCTTCTGATTCGACCTCTTCCCCGTTTAATCGTCCGTTAACGATGACCTTGATAAAAAATTATCTACTCGGGGTGTGCTATGGGAATGATACACGTTCCCACAAAAATTTTGGTTCTAGCAAGACGTGCGTGCTAGGTTCCATCTTGGGGAACTGTACGCCTCGCAATCTGCGCAGTGCAAAGCGAAGTAAACGAGTCACATCGGTATAAAAACAACCTAACCGGATTACGGTAACGGGACACGTCCCATTAGGCACGATGGCGGTGGTTAAGGGGCGACGAATGGTGCGACGAATGATCTGCAATAATCGTCTGCGCATTAATCCGACGTTTAAAGATATAATTTCGAGTCGCAGTCTCAGCCAAGCAAGTATCGCCAATCGCTGCGTCTTATATTAACGTGTCCTCGTCTTGATTCGGAAAGACCATGAGTAGGGAGTGTTGAGAGGTTGTACTCTGGCTTGACGTTAAAAGCGCCGTCTTTCCACCACCACTGCCGTTGATGGAACAATCCGGAGAGTTGCCGTCGAAGCCCATGTAATTGTTCGCTGTGCTGCTCGTAGACGGCATGTCGTTGAGGTCCGGCGACACCAACGGCGGTGCCGTGGTCGAGCGCGCGTTGTTACCGTCCAAGGACACCAGCTGCATGCTGTATGACTCGCGGTACCCGGAGGTGCTGGACATGTCCTCGTCCCAGGACACGTCCGACATTTGGGGGTGAAGGTGGTGGTGGTAGTAATGAGAGTGGTAATGCTGATGCGTCGCTCCGTAGAATTGTTGCTGCTGGTCGCACGGTACGGCCGAGTTTTTCTCGTCATCCGACTTACGAAGAAACAAACTTCGCCTGGATCGAATGGACGAGGAGTTCGCCGGGATGTTGGATAGCGGCGACGGCTCCACGGCTGACACCGGTGGTGTCGGTGTTGACTTCGACTGCCTCGGTTCTTCCACTAGAGTTGTGTCCAGCTGTTCCGGTTTCGCTTGGGTCAACTGCAAATCAGTATTCCGTGTCTACAACGAAGGTTGCCTTTGCATCTGATGCAACTAATCTATTAAGCGCGAGCGATCAACCGAGTCATGGTTGAAAGTTCAGCTCGTGATCGTTAATATCGATGTATCCCATGTGATATCAAACTTGTTTTTCAGTAAGAGTTGCAAATCAGACTGACAAGCACAAGATAGGAAGATATCAAAGCGAAAGAAAAATAGATATCTCATCGTACACAAGTGTTTGATGAACACAAAGTAAAATATTTGCCGATTCACAGTGTATCTACTGCTTGAAATCGATCTTGTTAAGAGGTACATAAGTTTCGTCACCTCTTCTTTCACTAATAAATCAAATTGTTATTCGCAAAATTATACTCGGTTTGATACGTTCTACGTACTCACACAAGCGTTAGCGTGGCCAGCATCATATACCCGATGTAACGTGAAGAATCGTCGAGGTGGCGTTAATCATGAAGATAATAATGGAATCTGCTTTATCTGCAGCATATCCTATATATTTTTATTATTCATTAGGTATTCGTTCGGCAATGTAAATCGGAGGCGTCGGATTGCTCTGTTACCTCTGAAAGCGTTCGGTAATTGATATTTTTCTGCTCTATGTCATCTCATCTGCGTTGACATCCATCCATAGCTCCAATAATTCCTGAAATAGAGTTTAAGTTTTAAAAATTGATATAATAAGAAAGGAATTATAAAGAGAAATTTTTTTTCTTACTAGGGAAGCCATTAATATTTTGAAATTTCCTGATTATTTTTAGGGTACGTTCTCTATCTGGCCACGATATAATCTTACATCTAATATTAACTTGTAACAGACTGTTACATGTTTTGTAGAGATATACTCCAACAGGTACTTTTGCTAATACCAAAACGATCAGCCACTGAACTAAAAAAGAATGAGAAAATTAAGAAATATTTTTTATATTATGACAGTTATAGTTTGTTTTATATCTGATATTATTAGCGTGTATATACAACTAATATGATATATAATTTTAACATATTTACCGAAAAGACTCAATATTAGATAAATACCAAAGGGTAACCATTAATTGTTTTTCCAGTGGAACCGGTTTGCAGCCATTTGTTTGGTCTTTACTATTGCTTTCACTATGTAATTTTGTGATTAATAATTCGAATGTAGAAGTTGTTATTCGAAAATGCATTTTAAATACTTTGTCTGAGAAACGTGGTATAATTTTTTCTGCATAATTTAAAACTTTTGGTTGTGCATTTCTATCTTCATCATCGGTATCGTCTTGAAACAATTGTCCCATGCAAAATTTATAATGAAACCTATTATCTTATCCTCCATATTTTTCTGTGTGCTGTAATTCACATATATTTATTTATTATTAATATTGTAAAATTATTTAATTGAAATATACTACTATTCTTACGCACTTACTGCCACTTATAATACCTGGATATTGATATTTACATTTTATTTTGAGGTCAAAATTAATAAGTGACAGCTCCTGGTTCTGGTTCAATAAGTGGCTCTGGGCTAAGCTATTACACTCTATCCCCTGTCAACGATTATGAAGGTAAAAGAAACAGGAACCACGCGTACGCAGTCCCCACCATCAAAAAATATGCGTTGTTACAGAAACTACATTCAACCACCACGGAGGCGAACAAAAGACTCAACTGACAGCTCCGAAACCCCGGGATCGTTCGACATTTACTTTTATGCTCGGTTTGCTCGGAGGTCACGTGATGCATCCTCGCCATCTGCTAGCTCGCATCTCAGATATGTAATGTCGAACGCACCTTATATATACTGATACTGATTGTATATACCTAGCAATTCTTGTCTGCACGATCATTAGCAACCATCATAATCTGCGAGGTGGTATTATTTTACTACGTTGTGAAATATTCTTCATAAGACGACTCGTTGTAAGAATATAATTGTGAACAATTAATTTTGGGTGTGTTTGTGTTTGTGTGCTTTGTTGTTGCTTATTAAGTGGGACATCATTCATAAAAACATTTCATTAAGAATTAATTGTGAGAAAATGTGTAAAACAAGAGACGTTAAATCCTGATTGCTTGTTCTTTCCTTTTTCTCAATTCGTACGCTTGTTTTACCACAGCGTCGAATTTTAAACAACTATTTTTCTAAATTTTATAAACTTCCAATATTACATAAAATATCAATTATACAAAAAAAAACTACATTCTACCAACATCGCAGAATTTAGTCTCATACCGCATTAGTCAATGTGTGCGCATCATACGCGTTTTAAACGTTCCGATTACCTTTCTATTCTTACAAACATATAATATATATTTACCGTAAAAAATATATCAAATTGAAATAATTATATTGATAGAAAGGAAAGGTACTGTTACGATCATAATCTCGCACTCTGTTACTCATTAATGCGCTACTTAAGATACGCGCAACGTAAAACTTTGCAAATCATTATTAAAGTTACATGTAAATTGTCGATTCAAATAAATATAATCCTTCTTGCATTTTCAAAATCGAGTCTCAGAGATAGTTATCTTATCCAGATATATTGTGAGCGCATATATTTTTATTATCCCTATCGTTGTGCAGCCGATTTTTATAGATATCGTAATCGGCAAAAATCAAAATAGCAATGTTTCAACTTTCTTCTTAAAAAAACTTTCTTGGCATAGCTTATGTAAGAAAATTCCGTATTCGCCGGAGAGGAAAACTGTTGTCGTGTCCAACTAAAATGCGACGTACCGAGAGGATCCTTATCTTCATCTGGCTGCTGTGCGTTCATCCGATAGCCATGATGAATCACATAGTGACTGCGCGAGAAGATACTTGTCATCTGCCAAGGGCTTTAATCGAGGAGATAGACTCGTATGCGCCGATTGTGCAAAGAATAATCAACGAGACTATGCGAGGCTCTTTCAAGGGCACCACGTGGCGAGACTTAGCGGAGTTTGTCGATAAATTTGGCCCGAGGTTCACCGGTACCCAGGTCCTCGAGGATTCTATCGATTATGTGTTGAACAAATCGATCAGTTTAAGTCTGGAAAATGTTCACGGCGAAGTGGTGACTGTACCACGTTGGATCAGGTAGGAAATAAGATAATGTGTGAGATAAAATATCTGTAAAAACGATCTTTAAAGTTAATACATGACGGTACCACGTGTCGTATTACAAGGGGTTTATCAATGAAACGCACATTTTTGGAAATGGATCGAAAGAAAGAGCAGGCTCGAATCTGTCGCGTAGAATCTGTTACTCTTACAATCGAGTTTTCATTTACTTTCTTTAGTCCTCTTCCTTTAGGCAACTGAGCATATGGTTTATTTGACTTTGAATTTTTGAATTTATAGCTTCTTTTTACGATTCATAATTTTTGCAATAAACTGAGTTTGCGGGCCCACTTTTATAGCTTCGAAAAATTACTGATCATAAAAACACGCTATAACTCGAACGCACGAATTTATGTAACTTTTATCATGCCAATATCGACTAAATTTTTTTTTATTATTCTTCAGTATCACTCTTCAGTATCAGATTCACTCTCGAAGCGAGATGTGTTGAAATGTTTTATGATACGATAATACGATACGATAGTAAAATATGGAACATTAAACCATCTGTCCATGAAGATGAATCTTCAGCAAAAAGTAACGAATGTTATTTACGACATAATCCAATTCGACGTACAATAATAAGACAACGATTATGACTTTCAGAGGCTCTGAATCTGCGACTCTTTTGCAACCAAGGCGAAAAGATCTCGCGATATTGGGCTTGGGTTACAGCGTGGGTACTCCGAAAGAAGGAATAACTGCCAACGTCATTGTGGTGGAAAGTTTCTCGGAGCTTAAGAGCAGAGCGAAAGAGGTAGAATTGTGTTGGGTTGGCAGACGCTGTTTTACACCACGTAACGATAAAGAGTCAGTCAAAGTCCTTGATTTAACCAGGTCCTAGGAAAGATCGTCGTGTACAATCAAAAGTTCATCTCGTACGAGGAGGCTGTAGAATACAGATTTTCGGGAGCTACGAAAGCTGCGGAATTGGGCGCCGTGGCCGCTCTGATCAGGTCGTTGACGTCGTACTCACTGTACACTCCGCACACCGGCATGATGAGCTACGGAGAGAACGTCACCAAGATCCCAGCTGCCTGTATAACCGTCGAGGACGCAACTATGTTGAAGAGGATGGCGGATCGAGGTGAGAAACCGGCGGGAAACCAAACTCTACGAATAAGTTCCGATAAATCTTTAGCCTTTTGCTGCGTTCTCCAAGGCCAACACTGTGATTTATCACCAAAAATGTTTCTCACGCCGCCAGAAGTCGCAATAACGCTTCAAGTTAAGGATCACGGCGTTCAATAGTGCGGGAACGTCTTTTGCTAAATATCAGAGCTCAAAATACAGTTTTTCGGTTTCAGAACAAGAGGCTGAAGCATTCTATGTGACTATCTGACGCGATTGATTCTCTGTTTAGGAGAAAATATCATGATAAATCTGAAAATGCAAGCGCAAACGTACCCGGACACGCACTCGCGAAACGTCATAGCGGACATCACCGGCTCCGGCGCGGCTGAAAAGACGGTCGTCGTTTCTGGACACATAGACAGCTGGGACGTCGGACAAGGCGCTTTAGACGACGGAGGTGGCATTTTTATATCTTGGAAAGCATTGCAGTTACTGAAGCGCCTTAATCTACGGGCACGGAGGACAGTAAGGTGGCTTGAAATACGTCAAAATAGTCTCATCTTAATAGTAAATTACACAGCCCCACAAAAAAAAGTGGTCTGTGAGTAAAACCGGACAAGTATATTCTTATGTATTTTGATCCGCTGAATCCGAATACGAGGTCAGAATTGGACAATTGCTAGCTTTATCGTTCATAACCTCAAAAAACTGATCATAACTTTATTTAACAAAATTAAGCTGTATATGATTGAATTCAGCTTAAAAAATGCTACAATTTTTGTCATTACAAAAATTTTCAATTTGCAAAAATAAAGATGGTGGGAGGGTGATATAAAAAATATAATATTTTTAAGAAATCCAACTACACAGTTGTAAGGAGCGTCAAAAACCAAATAACTTTTATCTGAAACACTTTTTCGTATTTTTTATAGTTTCTGAAGTATACTTTCTGAAAACCAGGTATAGCGATATACGTGGTAAGGGTTATTTTAACCTCTAAATATGAAATTCGGCATGTATAGAAAAATACGTGTCTCTTATTTTTAGCTACTTCACAACATATAATATATATTATATAAAGCTAGCAATTGTCCAATTCTGACCTCGAATTCGCATTCAGTGGATCAAAATACATAAGAATATACTTGTCCGGTTTTACGCACCGACCACTTTTTGTTTGTGGGGCTGCGTTATCAATAAGCCGCTATAAAAAAATGTCTGTGTTCGTTTCTCATTTATTCCCGCGAGTTCCATTAGCTAGTTGTGCAGCAGTAACTGCCGCTTCTGAAACGTCTTGTACATATCGCAGAATGATAATGTGGACTGCCGAGGAACTCGGATACATTGGGGCTCGTCAATACATAGAGAAGCACGCGGCGGAGAATGGAAACCTGCAGTTTGTGATGGAGTCCGATTTAGGCACATTTGCGCCTGTTGGCCTCGAATTTACCGGTGACAAGATGACGCAGTGTATACTTGAGAGAATAATGCAGTTAGTTTCACAGTTTCTCTCGCAGGTTCCGTTGACATTCTCGTTAATATCAAGCATCTGTTTTTTGCGCTAATCGCCATATACTTCGAGTCTCTTTACGCAAACGATGATTCACGGAAACGTACTTTCGCGAATGCTTGAGATCGTTCTGTTCGCTATCTTTTTTTAACGTACTACTTCAGGAAACAAATGCATGAGACTTTTCTGCCCTTAGGCTGTTGGCTCCGTTGGATGACTTGAAACTGAAAAGTCCCTGTACACAGCCCGATATACAATTCTGGGTCAACGCTGGCGTACCAGGCGGTGGTCTATGGACGAAAAACGAGAAATATTTCTATTATCATCATACGAACGCGGACACGATGCTGATCGAAGATCCGGTGGCACTGGACAAGAACACAGCCATTTTCGCAGCGGTATCGTTCGTTCTGGCGGATATTAGCGTTGATCTACCTCGACACAACAACACTTATTTTTCCAAATAAATACTTGAATAACGATATATAATATTTCTTCGATTCATAATGGATACAGTAAGCCGTTAATTATTGCCTTTAACCCAAAGCTATGACGTGATTTTTGGCTGAAGGCGTTTCCAGCTGCTAGTTGCAAAATTTGTTCTTCAGCTTTAAGCGAGCTGGCCAGATTCCAGCTGTTAAGGCCGTGGAGAGCGGCTTTTGCCAGAAATTACAGTAGAGCGAGAAGTTAAAGGCTTGCTGCCCTCATTGCGGACCAGGATTTGTAATAATCACATGCAAAAGTTGTTAAGTTCCGATAAGAAATCAGTTTGACATGTAATATAAATTACAATAAGACGTACATGTTTTCTTTATTTCAAATATACGTTATATACAATAACAACATAGAAACAATTAGGCCTACCGTAAGTGACTACTCTAAGCTCCTCGAAAGCATCACGGAGATGCGCTTAATCGGACGAACGGGATTTCGCGAATATACCGCTTCTGATTCGACCTCTTCCCCGTTTAATCGTCCGTTAACGATGACCTTGATAAAAAATTATCTACTCGGGGTGTACTATGGGAATGATACACGTTCCCACAAAAATTTTGGTTCTAGCAAGACGTGCGTGCTAGGTTCCATCTTGGGGAACTGTACGCCTCGCAATCTGCGCAGTGCAAAGCGAAGTAAACGAGTCACATCGGTATAAAAACAACCTAACCGGATTACGGTGACGGGAGGCACACGTCCCATTAGGCGCGATGGCGGTGGTTAAGGGGCGACGAATGGTGCAACGAATGTTCTGCAATAATCGTCCGCGCATTAATCCGACGTTTAAAGATATAATTTCGAGTCGCAGTCTCAGCCGAGCAAGTATCGCCAATCGCTGCGACTTATATCAACGTGTCCTCGTCTTGATTCGGAAAGACCATGAGTAGGGAGTGTTGGGAGGTTGTCCTCTGGCTCGACGTTAAGAGCGCCGTCTTTTCACCACCACTGCCGTTGATGGAACAATCCGGAGAGCTGCCGTCGAAGCCCATGTAATTGGTCGCTGTGCTGCTCGTAGACGGCATGTCGTTGAGGTCCGGCGACGCCAACGGCGGTGCCGTGGTCGAGCGCGCGTTGTTACCGTCCAAGGACACCAGCTGCATGCTATATGACTCGCGGTACCCGGAGGTGCTGGACGTGTCCTCGTCCCAGGACACGTCCGACATCTGGGGGTGAAGGTGGTGGTGGTAGTAATGAGAGTGGTAATGCTGATGCGTCGCTCCGTAGAATTGTTGCTGCTGGTCGCACGGTACGGCCGAGTTCTTCTCGCCGTCCGACTTACGAAGAGACAAACTTCGCCTGGAACGAATGGACGAGGAGTCCGACGGGATGTTGGACAGCGGCGAGGGCTCCACGGCTGACACCGGTGGTGTCGGTGTTGACTTTGACTGGCTCGGTTCTTCCACTAGAGTTGTGTCCAGCTGTTCCGGTTTCGCTTGGGTCAACTGCAAATCAGTATTCCGTGTCTACCACGAAGGTTGCCTTTGCATCTGATGCAACTAATCTATTGGGTTGGCAACTATGTGATTGCGGATTTTAAATAAGAATGAAAATTCAAAATTCAAAATTTGCTTTTTTAAATTTTTTTCAACGCATGTATGCGATACATTGAGCTTCTCTGCAATATCACGTGTTGTGCTATGACGATCTGAATCGATAATGGCCTTGATATGGGTCTCATCGACTTCAACTGGAAGGCCAGATCGTTGAGCATTTTTCAATGAAAAATCACCAGAACGAAATCTGGCAAACCAATTTTGACACTGCCTTTCTTTCAAGGCTTCATTCCCATATACGGCACATAACTTCTTGTGTGTTTGCGATGCTTTCTTGCCTTTTCGGAAATAATACAATAAAACATGTCTGAAGTGCACGTCTTGCTCTTCCATTTTTAAATTGGGATAAAAACAAAACTAAAGAACTAATCGATATAATTTTTGTACTAATTGAAAGATAGAAGTCCAAACAATAAGAAAAAAATATAGGTTAGGTACTTTGAACACGTTAACGAAACAAAAGAAAGTGTAAAATCCATCTGTCGACAAAATCCGCAATCACTTGCCAAGTTGCCAACCCAATATTAAGCGCGAGCGATCAACCGAGTCATAATTGAAAGTTCAGCTTGTGGTCGTTAATATCGATGTATCCCGTGTGATAACAAACTTGTTTTTCAGTAAAAGTGCAAGTCAGACTGACAAACACAAGATAGGAAGATATCAAAGCGAGAGAAAAATAGATATCTCATCGTACACAAGTGTTTGATGAATACAAAGTGAAATATTTGCCGATTCACAGTGTATCTATTGCTTGAAATCGATCTTGTTAAGAGGTACATGAGTTTCGTCACCTCAATATGAGCCTTTCGACTCTTCCTTAAGCGGAAAGTCTTCTTGCTTTGGCCCATCGAACGCTGCAAGCGAGGCTTGTCGGTGCGCACTTCTTCAGAACTGTCTTCGATCGGACTGGTCGGGCTTAGCTGGCTCGTCAGCGTCTCTCCTGGCAGGACAGTGGACGATCATGTCGCGCCTAGCGTCTTATGAGGGATGCTACTCTACGGACCATCTACTCATGCTCTTCTCTCAAAGTATACAGCTCGAGAAGTTGCTTTCGAAAAATCCCCGCGACAGGTGTCTTACACATTCGCGTCCTGTGTCTGATGGTACAGTCTACATCTAGCAAATGTGAGTTTTCACTTTGGGAAATTACAAGTGTGTACTACTCGCGAACTCGGAGCTTCTCAGCTGAGTACAAGGACGAAACTTATGCACTTATGTGGAATTGTAAAAGATGTATTTCTTGCGGGCGAGTGAAAACAGTTTAACCGTTATCCCGAGATGAAGTCTACTTTTTCGGCAATATGATGTGCATTTAAGAGGCAAAGGTATCTCAAGCCCGTGAATATGTGTAGGTGAATATTTATAACGTCATACCGATTCCGAGAAATTCCATTACCGCAGACAATGCAACTACGACTAGAAATTCTTACTGCACAAAGTACATCGCTATTCAGATTGATCGTGGTGATATCCAACGAGACATCCTTAAACTGTGTGTAAACTGTGTGGTATCGTGTAATCGTTAGGCAGTCAGTGGATTGTTGAAGATCGGGGCGTTTCCCGCATGCATGCAAGATTGTACGTCGTCAACGAAACATGGAGCAGACATTCGTTTCCATATCTCTTCGTGTAACAGAACAAGAATACCACGACAGAACAAGAATACCACGAGATACTAAAGATTCAACGCCACGGTTGCACATACACGCGTTTATGTGTTCGCACGTTCACGCATGAAATACTGACAAACAGATGCTTCTACAAAAAGTATCATGATAAGAAGCGTCACACTTGCAAAACTCATAGAATTGGTTGAACATAAGGGAGAAATGGGAAGGGACAGAGTGCTCGCGTAACACAGTGTCAAGCGTGTCTTCCTCTCTTCAGGTTATTCCGGAAGTGTCAGTGAAGTCCTACTTTCTCACGAAAATGTTACATGGTGATGGTAGACAATGATGCCCTGCTTGATGAGGTGATAGGAGGCTTGATGCGTACGCGACATCCTCGTGTCATGCATGTGTTTAGACACATGCGTCAAACTCCACCGTGTGTTACTCTTTGACGAATAAATTGCATCAAGGACATCAGTCTCTATGTACCTCAGTTTTCTAGATACTTCCCAAGGTGGTTGACTCTATGTTGTGCTGGTCAAGAATAATCAGGGTGCAGTATACAAATGTACAAAGTGAACCATGAGCGCAAACAAGGTGAAGAACGAAAGGAAACGAAAGAATGCTACAATCTTGCATTTCCCTCGGGTCTCCCAAGGGGTGCCGCACCATGTCGAGGAAGTGGAACGGGGTCTTTCGAGGGGGCGGGGGGTGTGAATGAGTATACTGGTGAGTATATCGGCTAAAGCGGGGACTGGGGATTTACCTGATGAGTTTCTAAACTCTACGGAAGAGACAAAGCGCAGCTTTGGCGCCTTTTGGTGAAGTAAGATAGGATGAAGCTTAACATGGTTACGTTCATCGCTAGTAGAAGATGGTTGGAATCTATCTGAAACATGCCACATCGAACGTCTAGTATGAGGGAAAGGGTAACAAGTAAGACAGGCCACACCACCGCGGTATTACCAGTAATCGCAGCGACTTACGCGTCGCTCATGAACGCACGTCGTGTCGTGCCGATGTTGCGCACTTTGAGCCGCACTCTTAGGAACGTCGGTTCTAATTGTGCTGTCGAGTGTAATATCTCGAGACGGCGCCTTAGGCTCGAAAATTAAGTCGATAGAGATTGCAAGTCAAAAACCAGCGACCTCACAAAATTACCCGCGATTCATCAAGTTTGTCAAAAAAAAAACAAAGACGTTCTCTATATTTGGACTTGCTTCGATATCGCAATGTGCGAGTGCGACGAGCGACGTTACATCCGTGAGTCTAGCCAACGCGATCTAGCTCGACCTGGACCCGATTTATAGTGGGTGCTTCGAGAACGAGGATGAGAGTTGTTACGCAACCGACGTGTGCACGACGTGTTTATGTGTGGATTTCTCCAAGTACGAGGTTTGATCCAAAAGTAACGAGAATTTTGAAATTGCGCGCGCTGTATCTTGTCTATTCAGTTGTTTCTTCTTTTGTGTGTTGATAGCACTACCAGTGACGTACGTGTCAATTTTCAGGCAGCAGCTTAGTTTATATTTGGCGAGCGAATGAGCAAGACGTACTTCAGTGTGTTTGGCGATTTTTTGTGTGGCAAAATGTCGGATCAGAGAGTTTGTCTGAAATGTTTGTGTTAAAAACGGAATTAAGTGCAGCGAAGCGTTCAAAATGTTAAAGAAGGCCTTTGGCGACGATACTATGTCACAACCACGAGTTTATGAATGGTACGAACGCTTTCAGGAAGGCCGAGAAGACATCGAAGATGACGCGAGGTCTGGGCGTTCTAGCACGTCCACCAGTGATGAAAATGTGGAAAAAGTTAGAGGTTGTGCTTGCTAATAGAAGAATCACCATTAGAGAGATTGTTGAAGAAATAGGAATTTCATACGGCTCATGCGAAGCGATTTTTACTAATGTTTTGAACACGAAACGAGTGGCAGCCAAATTTGTTCCGAAACTGCTGAATTTTCAACAAAAACAGCATCGCGTAACCATCGCAAAATCACCTTATTCTCCAGACATGGCCCCCTGTGACTTCTCCTATTTCCCAAACTCAATAGGACACTCAAAGGACAACGTTTTTCAACAACAGATGAGATAAAGGCGAAATCGCAGATCCAGCTCAAGGCAATACCTAAAGAGGCGTTCCACCAGTGTTTCTCAAACTGGAAACTACGTTGGCATAAGTGTATAATATCATAGGGGGACTACTTTGAAGGAGATGGGATAAACATTGAAGATTAAATAAATACTTTCCGAGAAAATTAAAAATTCTCCTTACTTTTTGATCAAACCTCATATAAATGTACGACGTTGCTTCGATCGGCCGAGTAAATATTAAATAATCACAGTAAATATTTAAGTACATCACAGAGAGAGAGAGAGAGAGAGAGAGAGAGAGAGAGAGAGGCTGCCAGAGCACACAAGCAACAACAAGGACAAAGAGTCTCCAGACGAAATGTCTCGATGGTGTCTCCGTTGACATGAACATTGAAATGTTGAACATTGACAACGTGTGTCTTCGCGCTGCGAAAGCCAAAGCGCAGAGATGTCGAATGTGTCGAATCCGGATACCGTCGATATACCGATGTGACACTGACACGGATGTTATTGTCGCGCTAACTGCGAAGACGATCTCGTTAATCTCGTGCTCTCGAGTAAAGAGAGGAAAGCGATAGAATACATCGAAGCAACTACGTAGTGATAGAGTAGCTACGCAACGATCAGTAGGGTACCAACTGTTGGACATTACCATTGTCTAAATACTGCTATGTAGTAAGATTCCTTATGAGATTCTGCGTATAAAACGTGATAGAGAGAAAGAAAGAGAAGTAGCGAGAGAGAGAGAGAGAGAGAGAGAGAGAGAGAGAAGGAGACGATAATAAATATCAGTGTTCTAATTGAAAACACCGCGAAATGAGATTGCGCGCTCCACGCTCGGCGGAATTTCGCTCGCCCCCGACTTTGCGATCTTACTTTCTCTTACTTGACTATTTTTACTATATTTTATATTTTACAATGCATTTTCACTTGCATTATAGTTGTGCTACCCGCGTAGCAGAAACTTCATCTTAAAGACGTCAAAGACTTCCCAAAAGAGTCCCACTCTTTCGGACGCTTTTAAAGTCTTTTTTACACGATTAGAGATATAAAACGTGCCCGAACAGCCGTCCATCAATCTCCTTTCACGGTAACATGGAATGAGGAGGCAACAAGAAGTGGAGACAAAGACCGAGAGATGAAAGACGTTGGAAGAAACAGAAGAGAACGATCGAGATATGACCAAATTACGAAAAAAGTGATAAGCGTGAGAGGAGCATACACCAGCAGGATATATTTATATATATATAATATATATGTAGCATCATAGATCGTGTCAGAATTGATTGTTGTAGAATCGATCCGCTTACCTCCGTTCCCTAGCTAGCAATGGAAGCAACGTAATGATCAATGTGTCAATAATACGACCAGCGAGGGAAGCGCGAACGACTTATGCCTTAAAAAGGGGACGCTTTAAGTGATATTACGAGGAGTTTCTAGTCGGACGTGGGAGGGACGGTGCCGCATCATTGTGCGAGAACGGCGATCTCATGTCCGTAAACGAAAGGGGTGACTTTTCAATTTTCATTTTGCAAGCCTCGCTGAAAAGGGGGGGGAGGGTGAAGCGACGAGATGATTCGTCGTTGCACGAGCCGCGCGAGAAGAGAAGACTACGGATGTAGAGAAGGAGAGAGAGAATCGTCGCTGAAAGAAATAGAGAGAGTGAGAGAGAGAGAGTGAGAGAGAGAGAGAGAGAGGAGAGAGAGAGAGGAGAGAGAGAGAGGAGAGAGAGAGAGAAAGAGAGGGAGGGAGGGAGGGAGGGGGAAGAGAGAGAGAGAAAGAGAGAGAGAGAGAGAGAAAGAGACAGATTGTTGGCAGAAAGATATCGTTGGCAGTGGTCTATAGACAATGGCTCGATCCAACTGTGGTAGTGGAGGTCAGCGATCTCGCACTGATTGCGCGCACGATACAATAATGAGAGACATATGCGAGAGGCTTGCGGTCGCATCGATCGCGATCTCGAAGTTCAGGGCTCTCTTTATAAGATTCGCGAAAGTGATGGGATACCTGTCGACGACGACGGCGGCGGCTGCTGCTGATGCTGTTCGACGTACATCTCTCCGGCGAACGTGTCGCTCGCCTCGCGCAACGTGGACGACCCCGCGCTAGTGCTGGACACGGATCCTGCAACGAACAGACGCGTTTGTCCCGGTACTGTCCGACACATCGTCCTGACTCGAGAGAGAAAGAGAGAAAAAGAGAGAGAGAGAGAGAGAGAGAGAGAGAGAGAGAGAGAGAGAGAGAGAGGAGCAGCGAGAAAGAAAAACAAAATTAGCAATAGCTTACGTGTTTACGTTACGGTGCATGAAACAGACGTGAGTATCGCTAATGAAGGAAACGAGTGAGGCGGAGAGGGAGGGGAATTACAAGGTAAGTAACAGAGACGAAAGCAAAAATGTGTCATGCTCGTTCGTGTACGCGTTGCGAACTTTTGCGATCTGGTCTGGTCTACGCCTGCATGTCTGACCCCGAATATGGCTGAAACGTCATAATCGTCACTCTTTACGGACGGAAAGCGGAGAAACGGGGGGCGGGGGGGTGCGCGTATAGTACCACCAATAACGTGAGTACCGTTCGGCGGTGCCGTTACTTGACTGGGCTGCGTTGTTTTAACAGTGCTACTTGAGTTGGATTGATGAGTCGAATGAGGCTGTGATTGAGGTGCTGTGGAATGAGACACCGGAGTCTCGGCAGGCGTACGGTTTATGTGAGCCTTGGAGCTCAGATCGCCGGTCAGAAAGTCCATCAACAGAGACGGCCTCTGAGTGCGCGACTGGCCTTCGGTTATCGGGTGCATGTCCACCACGCTTCTCTTGGGCTCCGGTTGCATCTCATCTGCGTGTGTTCAAATCGCAAGACGGTTAGTTTCGGTCGAGCGTTAGTGTCGTCTCGACGCAGCCGTGGACGTGAGCGGAACGACCTTGAACGGGCTACCTTCGAGGCCCCGCCCCGAGGATACTAACCGAACCTCCGATCCTCGATCTCCTCCTTCAGATTCTTCAAGTCGTGGATCAGGTCCATGAGCAACGCGCCCCGCGACTTGGGCACGGTGGTGCTGCTGCCGTTGATCTTCTCGCGGATGATGGTGTGCATATTCCGCTCGTGCTCGGATATCGGCGCCTGGCCGATCTTGTAGACGATGAACGGCAGCATCTGGATGTACAGGGCCGTGCGGTGCGTCACTACGAATTCGATGAAGTTCCACAGGTATATCGAGGCCTCGTTGCGCTTGTTCAGCAGGCGCATCGTGCGCAGGATCTTCGGCCATTCCGTTCGTAGCTCGGTCTCGAAGCATATCGTCATTATTTTCAGTGCTGGAACCAATCAGCCGGAAATGTCAGACGCGCGCGCGTGAATAATAGCCGTCTGATGACGTTTGTGAAGAAAAATTAGCTCACACGATGACAAGGTCTTCCGTGAAATCTCGTGAAAAAGCAACTGGAACTTACCTAGAAACGCCACTTGGTACAACGTTAACGACGTCTTCGTCAACGTCTTCGGGTCTCGCGCGGCAAATGTGAGACTGCCGGTCCTCATGTCCGTGGTGGTCTTCAAATTCTGCGCTATCAACGGTACCGTCTTCACTCCCGGCGGCCAGAGCGTGTTCAGTACCGCCGTCAGAGCGAAACTGATGTCCGACTGTCTCAACTTCGAGACATCTGCGGCCCACGATACGAGGATTCGAGACAATGCAAGTAATGCCGCCCACTCTCATTCTCTCACGAACGACGCGATGCGCTCTTACCTTTCCTGCCAGTTCCAATGCGCAGGAACAACGGTATCAGCAGGTTCAGCAGTGTGTTCTCCGTGCGAGTCTGAGAAGCAAACGTGCCACCGAGCACGTTTTCCAAGGAGTATCCTTCGCCGTAGGATATCACGTGCAGGGCGATCAGGCGCAGGACCGTCGAGCAAAAGTGCTGAGGCGGTAACTTGCTCATCAAAGCGGCTGCGGAAGCCGACGTTACATCCTCGGCTGGAGTGTCGCCAACGATCAAAGCCTGAAGATCGATAACGACACACCCTCGATATGAAACATGCAATGCATAATTTCTATTTCCTTCTAAAATAATAATTACGGGAAGAAGTATCGAAAAGGTTGCGTGTGTCAAATAAAGATGAAGATAACAGAAGAACTAAATGGACAAGGAAGAGTTAGAGTTTGCTTAATGCTTGCTATTTAACACGAACTACGTTTCGCCAACGAGATAAAGTAACGGTCCCAAAACCCACCTGACAAGTATTTAGCAGCGTCTTCAGGTACTGAAAGTGCGCGATGTACGGGCACTTCAACAAAGTCTCATAAACCCCCTTCAGAAGGTCGCTGGCAGCGGCCCAATCAGTGTTCCGCCTGATCGACGCTTTCTTGTGTATCTTGCTGAAAGTCTTATCCAGCCTCCTGAGGATTATCATCAGCGCCGGCCTCATGTCGTCGGCCGACCACTCGGTCGAAGGGAGGATGTCGTTCATGTATCTCCTTAAGCCACGACAGCCCATGGTGGTCTGGTCGTACGGTGAGATCTTCAACAGGCTGTGCGCGATGTCGGCCAGTCGCTAGACAAAGAATCGCAGCTATTACTTCCGCTTGTCACCGCGACAGTTACTAATTGTCCATAGAACGCAAATCCATAGCTACACCGCATTATACAACGCAGAATCGTTTAACCCTCAACGTTCACTGGAGGCCCCCTATTGGACCCCAAGGTATTTTTGATCGAATTTTTCAATATCTAATTTCTTGAAAATTGAGCTTGACCTGCCATTTAGTGTTACTTCAAGGTCCTCTTTTAATTAGAATATCTGATTTAGTTCGAAAACTGTCAGTTTCCATGTGACAGTTGATCAAAGTTAACCTATCGAATTACTGGGGTACTTCAGACCCCAGTGTGAACGAAGCGTTTCTTCTTTGAAAAAATCTTGCAATTTTTTTTCGTTAATAAAGTGGTTAAAAAATCAACAAAAAATGTAAGTATTCATTACCACGTGACACTTCGAGTCCAGCAACTCGATGGTCTTCCCGTCCTGAGACTTCTTGTTGAGTTCGATGAGCCGAATGGAGCAACGAGCCACAAAGTCCCCGACCATGTTCAGCAAGGTATCACGCGGCCTCCGGAATTCGTACTTATGGAAGTTCTCCGCGTCCGCGTCCGCGTCCCGATCGTAAAAGTTTCGTACCTTCGAGTGCTCTATATACTTGGTCGCGTGGGTATCGTCCTCGAAGTCGAAGCCCGGCGAATACGGGCCTTTGCCGTAATTTCTTTGACTGGAGCCCTTGTGCTCGGGGCTGGACTTCTGGGGACCGTTGTAATATCTGCGGAAGAGCCAGGAGGGTCTCGTGAAGCAGCTGAAGAGAGATGGAGAGGGGCGAGAGAGAAACTCGCTGAAAACTGGACTATGACGAGCTTACTTGGTTAACGCTTCGGAATTGTTAACGAGCGTCTTTACGGCGATGGCTAATTGATTTATTATCTCCTTCTCCGTCTTGCCCTCTCTGTTGTACGTGGGAGATTGGATTTGCTGAACGTAACACGGCAATATCGCCTCCAGTATTGTCTACAACAGGAGACAACGTGTCACACGCGCCGAACGAGAGCAAGCAACGTACATGTTACACGCGAGCTCGCTCACCAACATCTGTTGACCCCTGATGGAGTCTGGTGCGTAAGCTATCACCATCACGCAGAGTGATATGCAGTCGAGCACGTTGACCATCTCGTTCTCGTCGTGGTAGCAGAAGTCTATCGCTTTCAAAGGCTTCTCCTCCTTCACCAGCTCGCCTATGTTGAGTGGATCCGGCGACGGAGTTTCCAGGCTCAATAACAAGTTGAACAGGCAAGTGGATGGGACCTTGACAAATCGTATAGCACGTTATTAAGAAATGCACATTCGCATGTCGCTGCGACATGAGTGACTGGATGAACAATGATGATTTTTTCTCGATAAAACATCGACGAAAGAAAACGAACCTTATGAGCCTCGCCGTGTACGCTCAGCTCATCCGTATCCAATATGGTGGAGACGCTGCCGAACATCTGGAGAATAAACGGTTTGCGGTTCATGAGGTAAAACTGCTTGACGGCGTACTCGACGGTGGTCGTCACGAGTTTGTTTGTCTGATGAGTCGAATAGAGCTGCAGCAACGTCGGCATGATCAGCAGGTAGCCATTCGTCGAGAAGATGTTCTTGAAGTTATGCGCGGCGTTGATGTAAGTGGCTACGACGTAACGCAAGATACAGGAGTCCTCGCTGTGAAGGATCACCGCGCCGTTCAGGACGTTCAAAAAGAGGTGGATATCGCCGGAGTACGCGAAATTGCCGGCCATTGCCTCGAACATCCGCGCGATCAGTCTGACCCACATGAACTTGTGCATCACGTCCAGCCCGAGGAGCTCCTGAAATCCAAGGAAATAGTTCAGGCGAACATATACGTATTCCCAGACATTCCTACTTAAGAACGAAAAAAGAATTTGAAGGCTTTTGCGGTAAACGTCCGATAAGAATGAAAGGCTGGTAAGAGTTAAATGAAACTCTCTGGACAATTTTATCCTCCCGTTAAGATTTCAATTATGGCTCCCAACATCTGACGACGACTTTTACTAGCCTTTCATCTATTCCGAGTGAAAGAAGATTGCGGAAGCGGTTTCGGCCGCTTCATTTGTACTACGCGTTTTCGTTCGCGAGAATCATGATTTCAATTAAAATGACCGTACTCTTCCAATCTCGCCGCCTTTGTACAGCTCCAAGTTCGCTTCCAGCGCTTTCCGTGGGAACGACGGCAGTTTCATGAGCTCCTCGTGAAGAAACACGACCCTCTGCACCACCATGTCGACGTTCTTCAAGATCGCCCAGGTCAGCAGCACTTTCCCTATTTCCACGAACTTGTGCATCAATTCCTGCTGTTGCAACGAGTTGAACGCGTCCTCCGGCTTCATGTGGACGAGCTCGATTTGCGGAAATTGAGATCTTTTGAAGAAATAGTAGTCTCTGACGTACGACGACGGGTTGTGTATTTGATCTGCAAGTCAGCGAGAAACCCGACGCCAGTAGTGCCGACAGAATCGCGAAATATCGTGCAAGAATAAAAAGTCACTGAAAAAAATGTGAAACCAACGTGTCTTATAGTCAACGAGGAAGTATTCATGCTGCTTCGCTTCCTCGATGCCGAAAAAGTCCAAGGACTCTCTGAGTATCTGGCAGAACTGCGTGTCCTCTTGCACGGGAAACTGCGAGGGTATCTCCCCGGCGTCGGGATCTTGCGGGCCATGAACGATGATCTTCTTCGCCGACGGGACATTCGCCGTGAGCAGAATAGACGCGTCGCATTGCTCCTTCCGCAGGATCTGCTTCAGATCTTTGAACATGATGCCGTGTACGCTGTGCACCACCTAACAGACGACATTGGAGAGTCGTTGTCAATGACCTTGTAGCGTTCCAAAGATACAATTCATGCATCAAGTCGAGGGAAACGAGTGCGTTACCATCCACAGAATCGACAACGCGGTTCCGATTAGCTTTTGACCACCCTCGTGCGGAGAACGCACGTAGAACATCACGTAGCCGATGATGTAGTTGTACAACGCGAACGCAGCTTGCTGCGGCAGCTTCGGCACGAACCTGATGAGATGTCGTAGAATCTTAAACATTAACTCCTGTTGGTCTCTCGTCAGCCGTTCCAACACATATCGAAGAAACAGAGCGCTGTCCTCCACCAGGCAGCTCCAAATCACCTGATGAGAGAGAGAGAGAGAGAGATATAAAAGTCAATCAAAGTAATAAATGACAACATACATCAGATTGTGGTTTACAAATTTAATTAATTAACCTTGTTTATTCATTTTTTATTCTCTAATTTTATTTCAATTTAATCGATTAATTAATTCTACATTTTTTTCATTTCAGTTGCATTTTATTAATCAATTATTTCATTTCATCAGATAAATATACCTGGTATGCCACTTCATACACCGCGTTTCCATCGTCGGAGACTGCCGGGTCGTCCAGGAGATTAATAATTTGAACAATCGCCGAGCACAATGAAGAGGGGAACAACGAGAGAGCCGACTGACCGTGATGCGTCATGTTCCTCGGCACTGTCTCACCTGCGTCTTCATCTCCCACATTTCCTGTATAAAGAGGGAGAAGAGGTTGTCAAGCGCAAGCGACGAAACGGAAGACAAGATTCCGTACCTTCGTCATGATCGTCTCCTATCGGACTGGGCTCGTAAGCGGCTTGGACGGTGATCGGTATCGTCGTAATCAGAAAATTTTCCCTCTCCTCTCGTTTCTTGTCGTCCTGCGCCTGAAGAGCTTTCTTGATCAGTTCAGTCTGCTGCTTCTTGCGCGTCTTCGTCGCGGTCACCAAGGATCTCTAAAGCAAGAGACAAATGCTACGAGTATAATTAACAGTAATTGACGTTATAATTAACAGTAATTGATGTTATAACACTAATTAATTAATTAATAATATTTACATTACGTAATCAAGGTAGTATTATAATACAGGGTGTTATAAAAGTCCCGGGAGAGCAGAATAACTCGAAAAACATGAGTCCTAGAAAAAATGCGAAAAACTGGGTTTTTATGATTTTTCCCTGGCTATCTGACGGTGACCTTGGATTTGACATTGACAATGACCTTGAAGGTCATTTCAAGGTCAGATCAATTTTTTTAAATGGGACCCCATACTTTTGACCCCAGAAATGAAAAGAGCGGAAAATTTTACGTTCGAATATGACCTTTGCTAAATTTGACCTCTGAAGGTCACATAAAGGTCTAAGCTTGTTTTAGGCTGAAAACGCGAATATCTTCGAAAATGCACCTGCTAGGGAGCAATGTTACGCATAAGAATAAGAATATAGAGGTCAACGAGGGACATTCAGCCGTGACCTTGCCCTTATTCTCAATGTCATGAGTTAAGATTATTATTAAGGTTAAACCGGACTTTTTTAGGACTGAAAATCCATACTTTTGACCTAAAAGTGTCAAGATTGAAAAATTTTACGTTCGGATATGATGTTTTCAACCTTGACCTGTCAAACACACTGTCAAACGGTCAATGGGGAACATTTTGAACGTCTCTTGTAATCTCAGGCCGAGTTACAAGATGCTTTGCCTTCGGTGGCCGGGACTAACTGAACCTTGCCTTCAGCGGTCGGGTTTGAGACACCTTGCCTTCAGTGGTCGGGTTCCGAGGCTTTCAGTAGACTTCACGATCAGTAAAATAACGTAAAACAAGCATAATTTTGAGAACAAGGTCAAGGTTGAAAACGTCATATCCGAACGTAAAATTTTTCAATCTTGACACTTTTAGGTCAAAAGTATGGATTTTCAGTCCTAAAAAAGTCCGGTTTAACCTTAATAATAATCTTAACTCATGACCTTGAGAATAAGGGCAAGGTCACGGCTGAATGTCCCTCGTTGACCTCTACATTCTTATTCTTATGCGTAACATTGCTCCCTAGCAGGTGCATTTTCGAAGATATTCGCGTTTTCAGCCTAAAACAAGCTTAGACCTTTATGTGACCTTCAGAGGTCAAATTTAGCAAAGGTCATATCCGAACGTAAAATTTTCCGCTCTTTTCATTTCTGGGGTCAAAAGTATGGGGTCCCATTTAAAAAAATTGACCTGACCTTGAAATGACCTTCAAGGTCATTGTCAATGTCAAATCCAAGGTCACCGTCAGATAGCCAGGGAAAAATCATAAAATCCCGGTTTTTCGCATATTTTCTAGGACTCATATTTTTCGAGTTATTCTGCTCTTCCGGGACTTTTATAACACCCTGTATATTGGATAAAATCGTGTAGCTTCCGACGAAATCTCGACATGAACTCACGTGACGCTCCTGGTTGATGGTGACCTCTTCCACCTTGGTCTTCACCTGCGGCATCCAAGGCGGATCGACCACCGGCAAGGATTCTATTCCAATTTTCGGCGACGGCAGAGTGAATTCTATCCCCGGCGGAGGCACTTTGAACGTCACATGAGCTGCCTCCTCCATTCGCGGCCACACTTGGTAGCGCAGTTTCCACAGGACTTGAAACCGCAGGATGGCATTGATGCGCACGCTGGTGCTGGCGTGCTGAAGGCCCTTCTGCATCAGTTCGCTCGCCTGGTTCGGCGCTCGCACAGCCGACACGATGAAAAGCGCCGCCGCCGACGCGGCCACTTCCTGGTTGGACTCCAACAAAAGCTCCCACGCGACTGGCAACACCTCCACGAACAAGTCCTCCGTCATGACGACCGCCCCTTTGATCATGGTGGCCAGAGGTGCGTGAAAGGCATCTTTCACCTGGGTCTTTATGTACTTCAAAATTGGCGGTGGCTCCTTGTCCTCCTCGACGCCGGGCTTTGCGGTGCTTTTTCTCGAGGATTCCTTGCCTTTCTCAGAATCCTGCTCCGCGAGATCCTTCGATGAATCTCTTTGAGTTAATCGGCCAGACTGAGAGCCGTCCAGATTTTTCTCTATCCTGTAGATGCATGTATGAGTATTGAATTAGCATATTGGATATAAGTTGAAAAGTACAATTGTCTGGTAAATTCCAAATCAGAGGTTCTTAATTGCAACGAATTGGTTCTTACTTTCTAATACTGTCATGATTAATATGAAATTTATAATTTTCTGGCTATAATTTCATGATAACATCGATATCAATTGTACAATAGCAGTATATTAATATCTGACAAACTGAATTCCGCAAAAACGCTTAAGCTGGGAAAAAGTAGATTTTCAAAAGTTAAGCAGTGTCGTCAAAATTTTGTGCTTCGTAATGTGGCGACCAAATCCTAATTTCATTCCATCGAGATAAAATTGGAGACATTTGGATAATGAGAACACACAACAGAATTTCTATTTAAAATCTTACTTGTACTTGCGTCCCACGCTGTCCTTCCGCCGGACCGGCGACACCTGCGTGCTGGTCTGATCGGATACCTTACGGCTGCGCTTGTCTTTCTTACCATCCTCCTTCTTGTCAGTGTCTACGTCAAACAGTCCCGTACCGTTCAAGACACCAAACTCTTCCCCATAGATCTTCCTCACGGACTTGATCAGTCTGCTGCTGGCGCGCATCTGCCGCCGGTGGCAGAACGGATGGCAGAAATTCTGATGAGAGCAGTAAAAGTTGAAGGAGTTGGTCAGCTGCACCAGCACCTTCATCCACGGGAAATTCTTGTTGGTCTCGTCGGTCTCGTTGCTGTCACTCGGGCTCTCCGGCGGCTGGTCGTCGCTGAGAATACCGGGCGACTCCTCGCCGCTGACCTCGCCGCCGAGGCCGGGCTCGGACGTGTCGCTTCTGTCCGAGAGCGAGCTCACTTTCCTCTTCGACTGAATCGAGTCGGCGCGTTTCACCGCCGCGTCTGTGGACGAAAGCACGCCACATCAACCGGGCGCGTTATCGGGATGTTGGCGATTAATAATAATAATAATAATATCCTCATTGCGATCATCTGATGCTCGTAACGCTACTGAACGACCACGACCACGACCTACGAGGTGGATGTACGATAATTGAGTGTGATTCACAAAGCTGCTGCTTACACGCCTCGCATTCGATGTCCTTGCCCTCCTTGGTATTGCGACGAAGTTTAAGGCTTCTCTTTTTAAACGAGCCAGTTCCGACGGCAGTACTGCGACGAAGGAGAAACGGTCTGCCTTGGGGCGCCTGCATCCTCTTCGCCTTCTCTTTCTCGACGTTTTGTGTCTCCTCCCCTTGTATCGTAACCGTCGATTTACTGCTCCCCTCTGATTCGTAATCAGGTTCAAAAACGACAAAACTGATTTTACGATCCGCTGTGGAATTAATGTGTCCTTTTATCCACACGTACGACACAGTCGGCTCGAAAGCGGAAATGCGATTTCATACGGGAAGATCAACGGAATATAATATATAAATAATTCGGAAAGTCATTTGCACCGGCTGTCCGTTAATGCAATTACGAGCTTTGCGCATATGTAATGGTACGTGTGCTCTCTCGTACTAACCGGCTTCGCGGTCGCCGACTATAGACTGTAGACTCTGCGCGGACGTCTGCGAGTGACCCATAGACGACAGGGCCAAGCTCCAGCGTCGGTTCGCTTCTCGACTGTAGTGCAGCGACATTCTCTCCCATGGCGGCGGGCGTTCCTTCGTCAGCAATTTACTCGACTTGGGCAAAGTCTGATAAGTCTCCCTGAGGAACGCCGTTACTTCCAGCAGCAAAATACAAGCGACCAGGCGCAACGCGAAAGGGCACTGGGATCCGTAACTATTTATACTGGCTGCAAGTTGTCACTCCTTAGTCACTTCTCATTCGACCTCTCAGTCGAACCGGGATCCTGCGATAGCGAACCGGTCGAAAGGCTCGGTTGGATTCTCTGCTAAATTTCACGGCAATATCCAAACGCTTCGACATCTCATTACGAGAGGGCGACTTAATTTCTAAAACATTTCGGAGGATTATACCTCTCGTAGAATATTAAGCAAAGGTATATCCGTGAACGAAGTGAACCGTTAGCAAAGGTGCAAGATCGAACCGAGCTTTCTGACCGACCCGACCGGTAGAAGCGTTGTTACCGTCGTCGAGGAAATCTTCCTCCTCATCCTCCAGGACCAGGTCTCTCTGTTTGCTCTCGTCGGACACTATGCTCGTGACCTGCTCCATATTTTGCTTATCCTCGGTCAAGAACTCCTCGAGGCGCGCGCCGACAGCCTATTTCGATCGCAACTTCGTGTGTAGTACCCTCGAAGGGGTGTTCTCGGTTGGAAGCTACCGCGATTTGTGTATCGAGCAAAGTTACCTCGGCCCACTGGTAGAACAGCTTGCCCGCGGTGCGCTGCAGCACGTGGATGCGCCTGAGCGCGCTCGGGGCGTTCCGATTGTTTATGGGCATCGACGGCCGAAACATGGGGAAGTTGTGCTTCATCCACGCCGGCCAGTGGCCCTTGTTGCACTGGTGCACCAGGTGCGCGCACTCCAGTATGAGACAGGCGCGAGACACCACCGGCGCGTACGGCTGCAATCGCATGAACCGTTACTTGCCGTATATTCGATTATAAAGTAATCCGCGAAAACATCGGAGCGGTCAACATTACAAGGTCCAAGAGCGACGCCATCAGATGAGGATCGGGAACGGAGCCGGGCTGGCAGGTCTCCAGGAGGAAAGAAAAGCGCAACATCCCGTCGAACACCGCGCTGCGAGGTATCAGTCTCCTCTCCTTCAGCACGACGAATTCGGACTCTCTGCAGGCCTCGCCGAGCTCCATTGAGTCCCTCCGGCTGAAATCTAACGAAAAGTGACACGTACACGCGCGTTTATACAACGGGCATTGTTCAAGGTCGAGCAGACTAGTCTAGCGCGACAGGGAAAATTTGGGAAGAAGATTGCTACAACATTAGCGTGAAACGCGAAATCGCGAGATTGATTTATACACGTGTATCGAAAGTATGAGTCCGATCTTACAGCTTCCGGGCGCCTCCTCCAAGTTTTCTTTCTTCTTACTCTTTCCAAATCCGATCTTATTCAGCTGATCCTCCATCCGACGTTTCGCCTTCTGCAACGTCAGGCCAACTCTGAAAGACGTTCACGCTCGTCTCAGAGTGTGCGAATCCCCCACGCCGCTCGAGATAATGAGGTAATTATCTCACGACGAGATCATCTTCTCTCAATAAGAAGCGATTCCCTCGCGACAAAATAATCGTCTCATTAATTTTCCGCATAAATTCGTCGAGCATCGAGTGATGCTGAGCATCTTACCCGCGGCCCGCACGCGACGTGCTGCGATGAGGACCGTAATGGAAGCTCGGCTGCCTAACAAAGCTGCCGTCTGTGGGTGACTCGCTACTTTCATGGCTATCGGTAGAATCGGTGCGGCTGTACTCCTTCCGGAACCAATTAACTAAAACCGATCAGAACGGTACAGTGGGCGCCACAGTGCGCGGCCAATGATACGTGCGACTCGACTCGGCGCTACTGCTCACCGATACCGCCGATCTGAAATCGCGTCGACTTCCGCATCTTGCCTGGGCCCAGCGAGGTCTCGCCGATACCGAGGTTGCGCTCGCTCTGTCGCGGTGTCAACACGTGGTGCTTCTTGCGCAGATTGCCCAACGGGCTCTGACTGATCTTGACGTTCTCCTCGCTCAGCTCGGTCTCGAGGAGGCTCTGCAAATTCGACCCGGCCTGCCCAATGACATTTTTAATGCTGACACAAAATAACGCGAGACAACGAGTGCGAAATAAGTGACGGTCATGCTCGCTACCCCCCGTATAAGGTGGCCGGGTTCAGCAGAAAAAGCTGCTTGCTAAACGCTTACTGATTATTATCTATGATTGGAGTATTCTTTTAGATCTTTAACAAATCCAACGGAATGAACCAATCAGAAATGATAATCACTAAGCGAGTAAGCAGCTTTTTTCTGCTGAACGCGGCCCATGTCGCATTGAAAAGTATTGTTTCGCATTCACGAGATTTCGTCGTGAATTCTGCTTTGCGGAGATCTCGGATTGGATCGCGGGCCGATACTTTTCAATGTTACGGGGAATGGAACGTGAAAATCTCGTATGCCTCTGAATCCGAAAACAATTAGGAGAAGTGAATACTTTTCAATGCGAAAGTTCGCATTTGAAAATTATCGATTGCGATTGAGTGCAAGGCATATTTGAAATGAATGGAATCCTTTTTAATGCGAAGCATTCATCACTGCCATCTCGCATTTAGCGCGGTGAAATTTAATGGAGGAACTGATACTTTTCAATCCCTTTCTTCGGATCAGAAAGTAGAATTCAGACGTATTCAAAATGTTAATACTTTTTAATACGTTTCAATTCGACATTTTATACAGGGTATATTTACAGCGCAGGTGGTCGACGTGCTCCTCTTCTTGAAGAGGAACTTTCGCGTGCCTCTGTCGTCGACGGTGTAACACGTGTCGCCCCCGATGTCCGCGTGTTCCTCCAGATCGGACTGATGTATGTGCCTGAAATGGAGTGTTTTTGTCAGCTGCGGACAAAATTTGAATAAACCCGCTCGTGTTAATATTCGAGCCGCTTCAATTAATTTAATTTAATTCAATTTAATAAATTTAAATCTAATGTAATTTAATAATATCCCTTGGTTTCGAGCAAGCATGCACGAAATTAATATCAAATCAGAATCGACCTCCTTCTTAAGAGCGCGACCACCTCCGAATGAATCTTTCCTTCTTCGACTTTACATTTATTTTTCCCTCTCCTTGTAAAGACGCTCTTCAATTTCACGGAGATCGGAAGATTTCTGGCCGTGGATGAACGAATTCATTCGTAAATTTTCCGACAGCGTCAAGTGTATAAACTTTTACGGTTCACTCGACATTCATTCACGAACCTTATGACGCGCGTCGTCTGCACGTTGCTGTTGCAACGTTTATTCGGCCGATCCGCGGAGTCGAGGATACCGCTGAGGGTGACGCGCCGGAAAACTCCACCGTGCGCCTCCTTCACGTACGTCATCAGCTGCCGCACGTCGCAGTACAGGCCGATGTTCTCCTGCGCCTTCAGCTGCTTCACGGAATCGACGAGGCGGGTGACCAGCACCTTGAAGATGCAGGCCATGATCTGGCCCTCGATACCGCGCGCCCCATAACCGCCGGTGCTGTACGACGTCGCGACGCCGCTCGCCGTAGCGACGTTGCTGCCGCCGGGCCCACCCGTGCCTGAGGGGCCCACAGCCGCCCCGCTGGCCCCGGCGCCGATCATGCCGGCTCCGAAATTCGTCGCGTATCCGCTTTGGGACGCCACGTCCGGCGACTTGCTGCTGGACACTCGTTTCTGATCTGCGAGGAAATCGCGGATGGTCGACGCAGCATTAATACGGAGGAGAGGAATTTGCGCGTTGAGAAAAGGGACTGCTGCTAAATCGGAAGCGCTACCTCTTCGGAGCACGTCTTCATCCCCGAACTGGAGATGTGCGAGCTATTCGAGCTCGAGTCGAATCAAGTTGAGTCAGGTAATATTCGACTTATCATTGCGCTTATTTTTCTGAAAAGTTCTCGATCTGACACGTACATGGCATTAGAAACTGTCAAACTATAATTGTATTGGAAAGTGGCATCCCTGATATAAACCCATGTAAAATTTTATTCGATCTGTCAAATCATTCGAGTAGTAGCACCAGGTGAAAAAGCTTTGTGCAAGATGGGTGCCGCATTTGCTAACCTAATTGACCAAAAGCGCATTCGAATGCGTATTTCTCAAGCGTGTTTGGATCGTTTTGAGCGAAATAAAATGGATTTCAAGCGTCGTTTCATAACTGTTGATGAAACTTGGATCCACCTCTATACACCAGAGCGAAAAGAACCTTCCGGAATCACACTTTAATGATGGTATTGAATTATTGGAAAGACGTTGGAATAAATGTATTGAAGTTTCAGGAGATTATATTGAAAAATGAAACATATTTCACGGCAAAAAGAATTTTCTTTCATCGTTAGGCCGAGAACTTTTCAGACTGCCCTCGTACACTGAGAGAAAAGTATATGATATTTGGAACTATAATGATATAAAAGCTAAATTATAGTCCGAAATATCATACTTAAAGTAAGTATTACCATAATATCGGTAATAATTACGATATAGGCATAGTATAACCAACCATATAATATTTTTACTAAGGATTATAGTAAGTTAAACTAAAATTATTGTACGGATACAAATATAAAATGGTAGGTAAAGTAACTCTTTTACATAGTCAATATTACCAGAATATTTGCTAAACGATGACAGATGTAACTATATGAATATTAAATCTCACTACATTTGTGAATGAGAAATTACCATATATGTGATAAAAGTAACTATAACAATTGCTTAAGACAATCATTGACTATATATTTGTGTTTATTCTACTATATTTTGCAGGTTCCACGAACTATAAAAATATGGTTGACGCCAAAATGAACTATAAACTATATAGTGAGATTATAGTTAATTCAACTATATTTTTCTATCAGTGTACATTCCGAAGAAGTCACGATCAAAGGAATTCTTTCCAACGTTGCGAAAGTCGAAGAATTTTCAGGGAAATGGCTCGTTTATTTGCTATAGCTCTGAGACGTTTAGATTAGCCGTAAAATCTTGATCGCGCGCTGAATAATTAATCAAGAATATTACGCTCGCAGCAGAGTTAAACTCTAACCTTGCGTTCTATCTACTCACTGAGCGGCGACAACAGCGAGCTCGGGTCGACGCAGTATCCGACGTACGAATGGAAGAAGTCCAAGATTTCCACCAACGGCTGCTCCCGCATCATCTTTCGCAAAAATTTCGAGAAATGTCGGGAACTCGCGCGATGCAGTTTCGTCAAGATGGTTTGGCCCTGAGAGCGACAGATATCAGCCTGAGGCCCGCGTACGCCATCCAGACAACCGTACGGGCAACCTAGGTGCTTCACTACTCTAATCACGCAATGCATGAGGAGATTGTGAGCGTTTGCCTTGTCATCCGCGTCCCTGTAGTCTTGCTGATTCAATCTTGTCGGCGAATCTTGCTTCTTTCCTGTCTCCGACTTGTCGATACCACTGGCTGACCCTGCGCGAGAAACAAAATAGACTCTCGCCTCTGAAGCGCGCCGAGCGGACATCCTTTCGGTTTCATTTCCGTCTCTCTCGCGAGTAACGCCATAGTGAGAAGATTCGAAGAGCCGAAATAATAATTCCAAGATAGACAAGCTGAAGAACTATTATCCTAAAGTACCGCGGAACAATTCAAGTAACTTGCCCGCGTTACTGCCGGTGGCTTCCTCCTGGAGACAATGCTTCATCACCCCCATGTCCATCAGCAACTCCACCAGATTCAGGATAATCTCGCAAACTCGCGGCGTACAGCAGGCATTGTCCCGCAGAGCGACGGAATGAATAGCCTGGGCAAGATAAACAAAGAGCACGGATGACCGAAACGACGACGTGGAACCAGGAAAGTACGGTCGCGGTTTGTTTGTAGTTACCTTTAAGGCGACCTGCAGGTCAACGTCACCCTCCTTCGTGATGTAACACGCCGAGCCCGGAGCTTCCGGCACCTCGTCGCTCATGTAAGTGATATTAGAGTCGGTCTGTGATCTGGTGAGGCTGGGCTTCCTCTCGGAGCACAGACGGCTTCCTTGGATGCTGATGGCGTCCAACTGACTCTCCACGGAACCCTGAGGACACAATGTGCACTTAAAGAGAGACTCGAAGGGAGCAAGCAAGGCGAGGGGTATCGCGCGTCCTGCCGCTTACCTGCCGCTTCATGTAGTCGGGCGATGGAGTTGGCGTGTGTTCCGTGACGGTGATGATAGGATTCGGCACGGTGTAGGACTGGCTGTAAAACGGACTCTGCTTCCTCTCGACGCGGGTGTCGCCGATGTATCTAGAAAACGATGCAGATCAGGAGTACAGCTCGACTGCTCTTCTTCCCGAATATCCTCATGCCACTTGCCAATGTGAGCCCTAGTCAAGCACTACGTTCTCGTCTCTATGATCTCGATCTACGATCGTGCGCCTGTCATTCCGTCGACACATGCTCGATGATTCTTAACGACTCTTCGTACCAACGTTGCCCAATATCGCGGCGATCGCGAGTTTCTCGACGGGTCGCAGCAAACGAAAGAAACATCTCGAAGAAATTTTGGGACTGAAGCTCGCGGAAACCTTCGGTTATGGGAAAGTCAGTCCAGTTGTCGAAATTTGCATAATAATTTCAATAATAATTCCAACTGTGTTTTACATACGAAAAGCGTGTCCTTGAATGTTTTACCGCGAATCTACTTATTTCTTCTTTTCATATTATTGTAGGTTTGCGGATGCGTATCAAAAATTGGAGGACATCATTTTGTTCGCTCGAATAAATTGGAAGTGAAACGGACGTTTTTATACACCGGAAGACGCGAAGGATAAATCAATCATTATGACGGCGATTTTATCGCGCTGCCGTCATGGACGATCGGCGAGACCACGACTCTACCAAAGGGCAACGTCATTCGACCTCTTGTTTATCGCATCGTAAAACATGCATAAATATATAAAATACGGCGACGGTTCTACAATGTACGAGATTTTTCTCCTCATTTATAGTATATTAAGCAAAAGGTTACGAAAGCAACACAAGGGGATACGTATTCATCTTAATCGTGGATCGTAAAATTCTATAGTGCGTGGTTCAATATATATATATATATATATATATATATATATATATATATAATATAATTGAATAAATAGTAGAATATGTATGATACACAGATTTAAGTATCGTAAAACAACGTAAACTGAAGATAAAAGTGTGTCGGGCGAAAAATCGTCGATCCGGTGAATCTTGATCGGCAAATCGTTAAGTGGCATTGTTTGGGGGACAACGATTAGTCGTAATTTCAAATTTGCTCGTCGATTGAGACTGACGGGGTACATCAACGCAAACGCTAAGAAATCACACTTAACATCTGTATGTATAATATCGTCGTTAAAGAAGTGTATCGATCGTAGGATAATTTTATGTACAACAATGAAAGAATTGAAAAAATGATACAAAATCGACAAAACAAGTTCAAGTTATACGTTGTTTAATCTCTTGATTGGTGAAAACACAACACGGCGTTTTAATATTTTTTTCTGATTGTTCAATATTTCTAAAATTGAATGCTCAAAAGTTTTTGGAGTCGTTCTATTCGTAATAGCGAGCTTCAAAATACGAAACTCGAGATGGCGGACCTAGAGTTGAAAAAAAAATTGTAAAAGTTTTTACGAAAACTTTGAAACAATCACCAGCTATTATTCGGAGTCATATTGAGTCCACGATTTTGAATTTGATAAATTTTGACTTCGTGTTCGTAAAAAACCGCAAAAAGGCCTAGACACAAAATTTTAACAATATTGCTCAACTTTTGAAGATTCATTTTTCGTCAGCTTGAACACTTTTGCGAAATTCAACGAAATTCAGCCTGCCAATCAAGGGATCAATAGGTAGCAAAAACGGAAGTGACTGTTACACGGGAGAGGGGGAGGGGAAAAAATCTAAAAGAGACCGACCGTAGTGTCAACGAAACACGAAGCGGGTTAGCGATGTGTTTCATGTGCCTTCGATTTTTGCCGACGTGCCGATGCGACTGGATTTCGGTGTATCTTAAGGGGGGAAATGTGCGCCCTACCGGAAGCAGGAAGCTCGTAAAAGAAGCGTGTGAACCGAACTGCAGTACGGAACTTCCTCCGAGTGACGTTGATGACTTACCCTCCCGCGGTCAGCTCGTTAATCAAGCAGCTGAGCACGAGTTCGGGGTGAAAGGGCGAACGAGAGAGAGAAAAGAGACACACACAGAGAAAGACCATTACGCATAAGTATTACGATAGGCTTAACGATATTTAAGCGCTTGGATTAATTGTCGGAAACGCGCGTTGAGCCACATTCTCGCGCCATATATTAGGTCACTCTCAATAATTAACGTGAATTCACCCGATCGGAATGCGATACGTCGTCGCGTTAGTAAAGACTGTTGCTGTTTCGATAATAAGAAGAAGACACAGGACTGCATTTGTGTGCATCGCATCTTGAGAAATTTGTGTCAGAGATCGGAATACGTCGCGGAATGTAGAATCGAGCTTATCCGCCTAATTTATGGCCGAAAACATCGTTCAAGATTATCAGTGTTGGGTGAGGTATAACAACCGCCACAGTTTGCCGAAAAGACAAGTAGAAAAAGAAAACATTCTTCTTTTCTAACTCTATGTCTAATGGACACTGATCCACACTGCGACTTTGAGCACTTTGCGCGACAAGTTTTTCATCTGTCACAATTCGCTAGCGAAACACTTGGCGATTGAAAATCAAAACGCGACTGTTGTGCTGCGCAACACCGAGTCATTAAAATGTAGATATAAAGATATAAAGATACACATAAGATAATTGGTCTATCTGCACTACCCAACATTGATTCTCGTCTATCCCGGTAAGAGGAATTTTTGCTCTAATCAAATGCTCGTCTCTTATTGCATACAGCCTAAGCACAACTACGTCCCTCGCCGCTATAGTTATTCTCATTTGAAAAAAAATACATATATAAATATATAGTTACAACTTCTTAGACTATATATATACATATATATATGTATATATATATATATATATATAGTTTATACGCTCGCGCGTAAATACGTGTAATAGTCCCGCGAGACTACGCGGCAGTTTGGTACTCTGATGCGGCGAAGTATTAGGTGTGTGAATTAATTCGGTCCATCTGGCGGTCAATTGCTGCACTATGTAATTTTCTAACCTCTAATGTCTGCAAAAGGTTTTATTTTTTAGTATTTTTTAGTTTTGATATCTGGCAATAATATTCAGTTGATGAACGTTTGGGTTTGTAACAATAACATCATGTTTATCTGATCCGAAAATGTCGAAATTCGAGCCAAAAAAGCATAATTTCCGGGAAGTTCTCATTTTATGCTTTCATTTAAAGAAAACAGCCGCTGAAGCTCATCGAATGCTCATAGAAACTTATGGTGAAAGTGCTCCCACCGACAAATCATGCAGAGAATGGTTTCGACGTTTCAAAAGTGATGATTTCAGTGCCGATGACAAACCTCGTCCGGGTCAGCCGAAGAAGTTCGAGGACGAGGAATTGCAGGCGCTAATCGATGAAGATCCGTGTCAATCGTAAGATGAGCTCGCGCAATTGTTGAATGTTGATCGATCAACAATTTTGGTGCGTTTGACAGCCGTGGGAAAGATTTACAAAGAAGGAAGTTGGGTGTTATACAAAAGAACTGAAAGAAAGAGACATCGAGAGGCGAAAAGCTATGTCTGAAATCTTGCTTGCCAGGCAAAAAAGAAAAGGTTTTTTGCATCATATTGTGACTGGAGACGAAAAGTGGATATACGAGGGTAATCCCAGAAATACCTGACCTGACATATAGATAGCGGTTGTTGTTTGAAAAGAATGACTATGGTAGAAAGTACCAACCTTATAAAGCTTAAGTTTGAAGTTTGACGACGCTACGTTGTGTAGTATTTGTTTGGCAGCCATCAATAGTGAACGCTCTCAGTGAATTTGTAAACATGGAAAAAATTGGTCATCGTTATGTGATACAATACTTTCATTTGAAAGGCCTCAGTCCAACCAATATCGAAGCGGAGCTAGATTCTATTCTGGGGGAGTCTTTCGTTTACAACAATAAAATATTGGGTGGCAGAGTTTAAACGAGGCCGTACGAGCTGCCAAGACGAACATCGCAGTGGTCGACCAAATGAGGTGACCACGCCAGAAATGATGAAGAAAATCCACAAAATGGTATTGCATGACCGTCGACTGAAAACGAGTTAGCAGACATGGTAGACGTTTCAAAAAGTGCTATACATCGCATATTGACTGAAAATTTGGACATGAGAAAGTTGTGCGCAAGATGGATACCGCGATTGGAACAAAAACAGCGCAGTGAGGATGTTTCAATTGAGTGTTTGGCGAAGTTGCGCAGCAATAAAGCCGAGTTTTTGCGTCAATTCATAACCATGGATGAAACATGGGTCCATCACTTCATACCTGAGACGAAGGAACAGTCAAAACAATGGAGCAAGGTGGCTTGATGGCTATTTTGAGGAGCTCGACGATTCCCACTATAAACAGGGTATCGAAGCTACTGAACATCGTTGGGAAAAGTGTATTGAGCTATGAGGAGACTATGTAGAGAAATAAAGATATTTTTCCCAAATTTTTTGTGTTTTCTTTGTTAAGTCAGGTACTTCTGGGACTACCCTCGTATTTCGATAATCTCAAACGAAGGAAATCCATTAGCGACCCAGGAAAACCATCCACATCGATACCAAAGCGGAATATTCACGACAAGAAAGTAATACTCTGTATATGGTGGGACCAGAAGGGTGTAGTGTATCATGAACTATTAAAACAGAGCCAAACCACCACTGCCGAACTTTACCAACAACAATTGATCCGTTCAAACAACGCATTGAAGAATAAGCGGCCGGAATGTGCAAAGAGACGCGACAAAGTGATTTTCCAGCACGATAACGCTCGGCCACATGTTGGAAAGATTGTGAAGGTCACCTTGAAAGCACTTGGTTGAGACGTTTTACCTCACCCGCCGTATTCACCAGACGTTGCTCCATCCGATTATCACTTGTTCGGATCGATGGCACACGGGCTTTCGGAGCAGCACTTCAACAATTATGAAGGAATAGAGAAATGGCTCAATGAATGGATCGCTTCGCAGGACGAGTCGTTTTTCCGTCACGGAATGCAACAACTGCCAGACAGATGGGAAAAAATAATAGCAAGCGATGGCAAATACTTTGATTAGTATACTTTTTCGTGCTTTCTTATACTAAAGTCTTTTTTTGGAAGAAAAAAACGGACCGAATTAATTCACACACCTAATAAGTTACACGAAAGTCGAATTACCGGTCGATTACCGTGAGAAAACGCGCGAATCTACGTGCGAACGAGCGAGATCGCAAGTCTGAGAGAGAAAGACTGTACGAAGTAGAAGTTGCTACGGCTCTCTTTCGCGCAGAGTCAACAGCGCCTACCTTAAGCTTGGCATACTTTTCCCTTTGATCAGATTTGTAGGGTGCTTCATGTGGTCGACGTCCTTCGCTTCGAAGATCTTTGAGCAGGTCGAGGCCTGTCGCGTCAGATGGTCGTCTCCGGTATCGAGGCTTCTGTGACATTCCTGGAAATGGAGCGAGTGTGATACATTGCAAGACAATCACATTCGATAAAATCGCTAAAAGATCGAAACTGTAAGCGGCTCGTTGTTTAAGTGAAGTTTAAGTGAACAATAAGTCAGGCTAATGCAAATTATCAGACACGTGGATTGAAATCTCATCTAGCATCCGTCGAGACTCACGTTAACGTAATTTGCAATTTACTTAGATATACCGAGTTTTTACGGAAGAATTTAGGTCACATTGCTGATTCATTGCAAAATAACGCTGCTCTATCACCTACATTCGCGAAAGTAGCTCGATTGTTTACCTGCTCGAACAGCATCTTAGGCTCGTCCTGGCCAATCTTCTCGAGTGCCTTCTCCGACTTGGAGAGCAGCTTCGTCTCGACGAAAGCCTTGAGATCGGCCATCTTCATGCGTTTTTTCGTCTTCTCGCTGGCGCGTCTGGTATGGCTCGTCTCACAGTCTTGGCCTTTGGGCGTAACGTACGGCGACTCTGGAAACGTGTCCAGATCTACACAGAGGGAGAAAGGGAATGCGTGACGAGGCAATAAAAATCGGACATGAACGCGTACCCGTCAGCAGAGAGACGTCGCGTACTTCGGGCACCTCGATGAAGTCTTTCAGCACGTCTTTCTTCTTACTTTCGGGACTCTGGTAAAAGGAGACCTCGATCTTCGGTATGGGCAAGGAGTTGCTGCGACGACGCGGCATTTGCTGCACCGAGCTCTCCTCGTTGATCCTCCGCAGCCTGCGGTGCATTTCAACGACACGACTAATTTGTGCAAATACGCAAAGTACAGTATTTGATTTTCTCAGAAGACCGGCTCGAAATGTCACGAAGCTGTTTTGAGATCTGTTAGATATGTGCGAAGAAGGCAGCTTCAGCGATATATTTGCGTGAGCTGCGATTGCGCAGCTTCCTGAGCTTACGAGATACGGTGTTACCCTCGATCGTGTAAAGTCACTGACCGGTGGTACAGGAACTGAAGAGCCCAGAAGACACCTTCTTCCTGCCATTGAGGCACAAACAGGCATCTCATAGCGGCCACATCCAAGAAGGTTGCGCCCCGGACGTCCAGGTCGACGGCCGTAGAGCCGGCGGTGTGCTCCGCCGCGGTTGCGTCACCGACTGCACTTTGACGTTGGGTCGAGAAACTCCCACGTTTCCTCGCAGCCTCCTGCGAATCCCTCTCCACCTTGGAAGTTTTCTCCTCTTTCTCCTTGTCCGCGCCTCTAATAAAGAATCCCCCTTTTATATTTCCCCTTTTATACTTGGATCAATCGCGCGCACGTAGAATTCACTTTCGTTCTAATTAACCGAGCTTCATTCTTAAAATCCTCCTTCAGCTCGATAACCGGCAAAAACTGCCGTGTTTGATTCGAGGAATAGGTGAGATAACGAATGAATGGAATGACGTAACCAACCCGAGTTTCACAGGCTTGCCGTAGTACTGCTTGCATGTGTCGAAGCTGGAGATCGCCGTGACCTGCTCTATCGTGAGAGACCTCGAGGAGCTGGTCGTCCTGCCCATCGCTACGTGGAAGATGCTAGCCTCGCCCTGAGACAGCCACAAAAATATCATTTACTCCGCGATCAGTCGCGAGATACTATCTCGAGTGACTCACTGCGAATATAATGGAAACTTCTTTTACCCCGTCAATCATCTTCTCCGACTCGCTGAGGGAGGGCAGCCTGAATATCACCTGGTAAAATGCGCAGAATGCAGCGTACAGTGAGATTAGCGATCGATATTCGTCGTGATCGTCAACTTACTACGTGCTCGTCCTCTGCGCCGGAGCTCTCCTCCGGTATCGTTTCGGGGAAGACCGTGTCCTTGGGTGATGACAACCACGTACTCTGTTGCTGCCGACGTTTACGGAAGAAGATTAGCCCCGATAAAGTGTGTTCCGTAAAACTCGCAAGGGTTCGATGGTTGTATTTAATTAAACTTACATCATCGTCGATTATTTTGGAGGACGGCGGGGCACTCTGGTCCGAAAACGCGCTAACCGATTGGCTGGGTGGACTTTCGATATCTGAATAGCGTTCGATGAAAAAGATCACGAATTAGGAAAGACAGGAGACGTGTATTTCGACGAAGATCCTTCGATTTACCGAACGACCCTTCTCGAGCAGCTCTAGGAGAGTTCTGCCGGAGAAGTCAGATGAGGTCGGAAGGCAAACGTCGAGTTTCGGGAAATTTCGATGTTACAGGCAATTATAAAGGAGATTGCGAGAGTTGCTGAGAATTAAGAAAAAGCTCAAGTCCAACTGCACTCACTGCCTCCGACGAAGACGTCGTCCGACAGCATGTGATGCTTAGCTGACTTTAAGGACCGGCTCCAATAAAGGCGCGGCTTGGCGCGACAATGCGTGGTGAAGCAAGACGCATCCGGATGTCGGCACTCGTACATGGCGGACCATATCTTCAGGCCGTTCTCCAGCCGCAGGTTCGTCCTGAAATCGATGTCCTTCAGGTGATTGCACAACGGCGCAAACAGGTAGACGAAGAGCTGCAGCAGCGGAAAGCACCGTTATCCTCGACGTTTCTGCTTCAGCGGGTCGCACGAAGAAGCGGAATTTCGAGAGCTTACGGTCAAGGTAGGTATCGAGAACAAGTAGTGAAAGGGGTTCGCCGGGTCGACTTCGTTCTCGGCGCATTCCTCGGCCGCGTCCAAGAGTATCCAGTGAAGAATGTAGAGCAGAGTCGTTTCCATCGCACCGAGGCTCTGAAAGTCCTTTCTGAAAGATCGACGACGATGACATTCGCGCGAAGACCCGAGGAAGCGACCGCGGGATTTCGTGCGGCTCACCTATTGTGCAGGATGCTGGCCGTGGCGTGAAGGACGTAAGGGAGAGCGGCTTGAATCAAGCGCCAGCGTGGCACGTTGCTCAATATCTCGCTCAGCGACGGTGTGAGGTCGTTGTGGAGGTTCTGCACTAACACCTTCTCCAGGCACTGTGGACGCGAAAAAGAAATCCTTCAGAAGAAGTCACTCACCTGGTATTACCGACAACATCGATCGTAACTTTTTGTCCCCGTCAGTCAAAATAATTGCAAACGGAATGGGACACGTCGATATCTTGCAACGTGAAAAAATTAATATAACGTGTTCACGCATGTCATTTCTTTGTAAAATAGCTTTATAAAATTTAGTTTCTAGAGTTTCAGAGAAAGCGTGTAGTTTATTCATAAAATGCGTATGTGTACTGACCGTGCATGCTTCCTTCATCTCCTGTAAGGGCGCGTTCCAGGGGTAAACAAATGCTATTAGTCCTCCGAAAGCGATTTATTACATTACGAAGCAGAAATAGAATACAATCAACAAGATGAACAATAAATCTCTATATAGATCTCTATATAGATCTCTATATAATAATCTCTATATAGATCTCTAAATAGCTACACGGGCAAGCTAAGTGATGTACACACGTACTAAGACGTAATGAACTCGATGAACGATAAATTCCGCGGTCAATAGTAGTAGGGAAAATTGTGAAATATTGATGGTGGATGCACGTGGTGAAATTTGCATTGTAATTTCATGAATAGAAAAGTGCTGCGAGAGATATCAATTCGGTTGAGACGTTTCGTTCAAGACGAGCAAGACGAGAACAAACACAAGTATAACGTGAGGTGTTGCGCAAATCACACGATCGATCACACGAACGCGATCCAAGAAACATCTCGAGTTTATTGATCCACTAGTTTACGCTGTACACATTGAATTTTTCGCCGTCGACCGAGCGAGGTGCGAGTAACGCACAGCGACGACACAAACGTTGCTGAACGTAAAGCGCCAACGGTGACTGTAGGTGTCGTTGAAAAGCGTGCGCGATCGTTGCCTGGAGCATGAGCATCGTCCTTTCTACCGGTGCCGGTGCCGGTGCCGGTGCCGGTGCGCTACATTCCCGCCTGTATAAATAATTGTTTTATCATGCATCTCATCCCGACGACGAGCACGAGGATGATAAAGCCGCAATATACGAGAACACGAAGGTGTACGAAAGCAGGCGGTTGCGTGCAGGCTCACAGGCGGTTGTTAAACGGGCGAGCCAACTTACATGATGGCCTGGCGCGTGTTGACAGAACTGTAGGTGACACGTAGAGGCGGCCGCGTGAAGAGGTCATTTCGTTAATGCAGGTGAAGCAGGTGTCGGACAACAGGGATCGACAAGAAACAGGAAACACTCCGTTATTCGTACCGCGTTAAATCAGGGTATTCGTTTTTGCCTCAAACCAAACCCGGGGACCGATTATCGCTGCACTTGAAAGAAAAGAAGAAGAAGACAGAAAGAAGGAACAGAAGGAAAACGATACGCGATTGGAGAGACTTTAGGGTCATTAACGGTCTTAATTAGACATCGTTAGCTACGACACATCGAACTGCCACGAAGTGGAACGGGTTGGACATTGGTAGACATATTGAAGCAGGCTCTGAACGAGAAGCACAACAACGACTCGACAGAGACGAGGACGAAAGCGGAAACCGGAAGGAAGAAACCTTCCTCCGTGGTGGGGCAGCAACATGTATCCGCGATTCTGCACATCCGCCCGATCGAATCGCTCAACCTGGGATAAATAACATGAGAAACACGTGGCTCTACTGATGATGTCGGGATTAAGCGACCGCGTGTATCCTCGGTCCGACGACTGGCGGAGCCAGGATCTCTGCGCGTTATAATCGCGATTGAAATATCTCCGACGCACAGGCGACTTTCCTCCCCCTTAAAATCTAAGAGACACTTGGAACAATCATTGCGTCAGTCGTTTACCGTGCAAGATGCTTCGTGAAGTTTTCCTAGCTTGGCTCGAATGAACGGCCTGAAAAACAGGGACGATGCGGTTATCAGACTAGATTGCAATCTCGATACGTTGATTCATTATCCTTTTCCTCAAAGATAGTGAGAAACGCCCCACGCGTCGTCAGCTGACCTTAATTGCCGCCAAAGGAACATCTGAACCGGGATAGGCAAGGGGTGCTCCTGCAGCCCTCCGTCCAAGGACCGTCGTTTATCCATGATCGGAGATCCGGAAGTCGCTGGAACATTTCAAGAGGTCGCGTGTATCAGAAGGTCGAGCGTCTCGGTGAGTCCAACGCGAGGCTGATCGGTCCGATCGGTAGTCCGACGCGGTCGGACGCGCCACGTGTCTCACCTAGCGAAACGGATCCTGCCGCCTTCAGCTACTGCGCGCCCGTGTCGTCGCGCACAAACACCGTCGAGTCAACGGCACTCCATCAGCCATCGAATCGATTCTCCGATCCCACGCAACGCCGAGGCCGCGTACGCTCGCGGAGATCGCCGGTCGGGGGCTCAATCTGCGCGTAACACCACGAGCGCTCTTCTCCTCGCGACCGCGTCGCACGACGGCCCAGGTGTTGGACGCAGCCGCCGGGAAACGCCGACGCCGGGCATGACGTCTTGCGGAGCAGCGCCGCTCGGCGATGAGAGTATCACGTGCTCCACTCGGCCTAGTAACACACTTCCGTCATCGGCCGCAGGTACCCTGCGCGACGCGAAGGTGTTGTATGCAGCCTGGCTCGCGGCCGAGATCGCGTGTTACTGAAGCGACAGGACGCAGGCGGAACGCGTTCTACGCGCCCTCGTCCACGGGGAGGCTGCTGAGTGCGCGTGCGACTCTCGGGAAATCCAATGCGCCGGTCGTATCATCGATCAGCCCAGGAATCTGCCGCTGGACCACCCCTACGAGCCGAGCCACCCCCTCCGTCGCGTCCCTACCAACCTACATTTCCCCACCTAGGGCCACGTAGTCAGGTTTACGTGGCCGCGAGCTGTGCTGCTGCCCGACACGACGACGATGGAAAAGGCCATTTCTGGCGGAGCGATGACTGAGGAAGCACCATGTCGGCGTTGCCGTGAAAGAAGCGCAATTTGCGTCTGCCTCTTGCAAGCAGGGTGTGTACCCTACCATACCTGTCGGATTGCGAATTACGGATGATCGATACGACCGACGGGATACACTTCCCGCTGGATGGGCGAGGTAACGAGCTAACGCTTTCACGGCGTGAAAGATTCAACGATCGTGCGGCGAGGGGGGAAAAGCAACTCTGTCGGTATAACCGAATTTTCCGCCGTACGAGAAGGTTAGGGACCAGTTGCGAATTAAACTTGCTGGTAGAAACGAAAAGGAACCCACAATTCCTGTGGGAGGGTTTCTATTCTCGGCTCTCGCTGCCTCTCGGTTGTCTCGACCGAGTGTCAATGCAGCTGAATGATCCTGTTTCCGCTCGCAGGAGCAGAGGCATTATTCCTCGTCATCGAATTTTCGTTTGGCGCTTGTTTGGTTGGCACGCGAGCTGAGATTTTATTTCATTTATTATTGTGTGCGAGGAAAATGTTGCAGTGGGAAATTTTCCTGCAGCGAAAATTTCCAGTCTCGAACTGCTGAGAAATTACCTGACCGAAATTACTACATATTTGTTCAAAAATGTCGCCCACGGTTAACTTTCATTACACGATACTGTAATGACTTGAATATTTCTTTTGTCTCGTTTTCCTGTCTCTACAGTAATTTATGTTACAATATTGGTACAAACCAGCTCCGCGAAACGAGCATTGTAAAAGAAATATAATTCTGACGTAACTTTTGCTACATATATATATATACACACGATATCTTCTCCTCAGTAAAGAGAGTGGAACAAAATATCGAGAGGGCGAGGTCAATACGAGAATCATACGTACCGAAGTACGCGAGCAGGCCTCGCGATTAATTAGAGCGTTTATTCGGGAGTCGCTTTCCTCCCAAGGCCGTTCCGATCCGTCACGCCTTCGTCGGCATCCTTATGTATGTCAAGACGCTCCTCGACGAGACGCGGCCTCTCGCCGAGGAAGCTCTCCGCGTCCTTCAGCGACATATCCAACTCGAACGCGACTTCGCGGGCGCATGCCATTGGTTTATTCGTCTTCAAGTTCCCGTCGAGGACTACCGGGCTGATCTCTATACAAACTTCCACGCTACCGTTCGCGTCGCCGGCCACCCTCTCCGCCTCCTCGTCCACCGCCTTACATACGTCACTCCACAATTCCCTCTGGCCAGGATGAAGACGTTCGATCAACCGCCGGAAATCGTCCCAGTCCATGCTCTCGCTGCTCTCCAGGACGTCGCGATAAACCGGCGAAATTTCGGCCACGGCGCGCCCGACGTCCTTGCCAGCACTGCCAGGCGACGCGTTCTTGTAAATAATACATCGCGCGATTTTGCCGGAGGAATCAGGACAAACAACAGCTGCCGGCTGCCCGGCCTTCGACTCGCTTTGGCCGTGCGACGTCTGCACGACGTCTGGTTCTTCGATTGAACAACTTTTATCCTCCGGTGACTCGGACAATTTTGTCGGAATACAATCACCCAGCCAAGCATTCGTTATTTTGTCGCTCGCCCTGAGCGATTGATCAGGATGGGCGAATGGAAACGGAACGGTGGTGAACGTTGCGTCAGTGTCGGTCGCTGAATTCTTCGCGCGACAGGACGCGCGTACGGAATCTTCAACGGCGATCGAGTGACACACCTCGTTTCGCGCTTCCTTCGCGGATAATCGAGCAAGGACGCTCGAGCCCCGCGCCCCTGGCTCGTCCCTCGCTTCCTTCGCGTTGTCAGAACGTCTGGCCTGTGCAATTTCGGCTCTGACATGTTGGGCGATGTTCAGGGAGGGTCGTGATGAAACTAACGGGCGACCTCGCTGGATGTCTCCGTCTGTGTCCTCCTCCTCATCTAAAGCTCCCATCCACTCGTGTATCAAATGCTCGGCTGAAGACGAACTGAAAGTCATAATGTCACTCTCCTCTCGTCGCCCTAATGGAGCACAGTCTTCGAGGGAGTCCTTTTCCATGCATTCGATCCAGCTGTCCGCTTTCTTCGGCTCCCTTCTTCCCACGTTGCACGCACGAGGGTCGTTGCTGTTTTCGTCCAGCCTCGCCACCGGTAGGCAACGATGCTCGTCCCAAGCCGTTTCCGTCAAGTGTCCCGACTCGTCGAACAACCAGAAGCCCGGCTCGCATCGCGGATAATCGTCCCGACTGCTGTACAGCACGGAACTCTGCCTCTTGCTCGGCTCTTCCAAACGAGTGTAGCGTGTCCCTTGCAATTCCGAAAGGAGACCATCCTGTTCCTTGTCCAGGGCCACAACTTGGCCGAGAGCCAAATACTTCATGGTATCGGCAACCGAAGTAATATCGGCGTCCATGTCGAGAAGTCGCCGCAGAGATTGGGTCCTTCGCGTGTTCCTGCAGCGCAATGCTGCCGTCGGCAAACTGTCGATTTGCCATTTGTTTTCGTACGAAATGTTCCTCACGACCTTCTCCACGTCGGTATTAGTCTTCGTCGTCGTCGAAACTCCATCATGATGCACACGTTCGACCCCTGCAGCGTTACCGAATTCGTGCCTGGCGTCCCGGTTTGCTGCTTCGTAGTTGACGAACAGTCTCCTGATGACGTCGTTATTCAGATGAGACGTATTTTTAATCTTGGCGTCGCCTTCCGCGTTGGAAATATTATTAGCATCATTTGGGCCTGCTGCGCGACGCCTGATTACGAAAGAACGCCGCCCTTGGACTGCCAATCGCTCGCTCGGTCCGTCTTTGCACTCAGCTCGACCCTCAGGAGCATCAGCGGACATTCCTGATCGCGCGTTATAGTTTACACTCGGCTGGCTCGTTGGAATCTGTAATTTCCCCGTACTTTCATAGTCGTCGACACAATCGCGCTCAGCTGTCGCAACACCAGCACCGTGGCACGATTTTAGCAGGCGGCTTATCACTCCGCAGCGCTCGCATCTGTGCAAGGAAGAATCCTTCGACAGAAGATCGTCCAATTTCTTGTCACGACGCAGCGCTATGAAGTATCGCAGTGTTCTCGAGATCTCGCTGCAGTAATTATTAGTCAACAACGAGGAGACCTTGGGATCTGAGCCTGCGATAAAATCGAGGACCTTACGGACCGCCCCCAGCTCGACGAACGGTGCCTGTGATCCGTTGTTCCTCAACGTTCCAGGACTCGGCGTGTCACCCAGCTTCTCGTTCGTTCGACCGTCTGATTCTTGCTCACTCCCGTGCAGCGCGAAGGTCGACCGTTTGCCCGACTTAAAGGGACCGCGTGAATCTTCGCGGTTCAACCTCTCATACGTGGACCTACCCTCCTCCCGCCGCCTACGTCCGCCAGTCGAGGAACACAAGCCGCGTTTCGTCTCGAGCTCGGTATTCAAAACTCTCACGGAGGGCCACAACGTGTCGTTCGAAGACGTAGCTTGGGACGATTGGAGCGACGGCACGATCGTTACTTCCCAGAAATCGTCACGGTCCATGACCGACGGTACGTGACACTCGTTGGAGGGTCTTCTCGATGATGCGGAAGCATCGTCAGTTATGCCGACCTCTAACAGAAGGTCGAGCTCGCCGTCATTGATACGTTCTTCAGAAGCATATTTTTGCTGGATCACTGTTGGACGCATCGGTCAACAAGTAATTTCATTAGCGGTTATGTTTCATGCTCATACGTCATCTTCAGGGTAACCAGCGAGAGCAACGCATCCTCGTGGGTTGCACCATCAGCGCACGCATTGCACTCTTATCGCATCTAGGAGGTTTGGCTTACACGAAATGCATTTCACGAGGTCGCGCGTGTAGGCCGTGAATAAATAAAGTCGGACGACAAGGTCGACGTGAAATTTGCCATTTCCCGTTTCCACATCCTCGCGACGCCGGGACACGAGCGCCCAGCTGCTGTCCACGGTAGTGGACATAAAGGTTGTCACTTTTTTTTTTTAATAACTTTCGGGACGCACCCCGACTCGAGAAGGATGAGAGCTGCTGCTCCACCTGCGGAGCACGCCTGCGCGTGTGACTCGCAACGAAAGGCGAGAAATGAAATATACGTGTTTATACATAATTAATATACATAATTAATATACATAATTAATACATAATTAATACATAATAAAATATACATAATTAATATGTTTCAACATTAATTATGTTGGAAATTTTTTTCATAGCTGTCTGTAGCGGAAAAGAATTAAGGATAGATATTACAAGCAAAATATAAGAATTGTTTATATACTTATGTCGTACCACGTATATTTCACTTCTCGCCTTTCGTTGTGAGTCACAAGCGCAGGCGTGCTCCGCAGGTGGAGCAGCAGCTCTCATCCCTCTCGAGTCGGGATGCGTCCCGAAAGTTATGAAAAAAAAAAGTGACAATCTTTATGTCCGCGACCGTACGCGAGCGACAAGGTACAATCTCGGCAGAAAGCGCAAGAATGTCGAAAAATTCGCGTATCGCGGGAGCAATCATGCGACGACGGAGTGTACTGCATACTGCACACGCTCGCGGAGATAAAAGAATGACTGTCTAGCCTGCCGTGAAAGAAAGCGCTGCGTTACGTGAAAGCGGAGAGGTTCTCTTTATGAGGATGCCTCAAATCATGGCAGAGGCATTCGCGAGAGGACTGGTGGACAAGATAATGCTGGAAGTTCTGGACGTCATAGACCGCGACACAGAGGACGGTAAGGCGCAGGTGTTGGTGCGTCTCGCAGATGCAACTGCGCGCTGAATAGCGGCCGCTTTCGCATGCACGTCGATATTGTTCGCCGACAAAGACACGTTGTTCAGGGACAACGCGCGGTCTCTCCTGCGCGCGATAAGTCGCGCGATCGATGTGTATCTCGCGGAGATGGCTGCGCAATTATGCTAAGAGCGAATGATGAACGCGTGAACGAATGAACGCGTGAGTGATGGACGCGTGGTCGTTAGGCAAATCCTGGGAGCAGCCGGTCGACGAGGAGGCCGGCGACGGCCAGTCGGAACTCACGAGGACTCAAGCGCGTGAACGCACACGCGTGGGCTACAGCAAAGCCGAAGAGATGGCGGCGATCGCGCAGATTGTTTGCGACCTGCGCGACATACAGATCGGAGATTCGTGTTACGTGCTACCGCCGCCATTGTTGGCACTCGAGAAACAGGTAATTGAGTGTGGTTGCACAAGAGAGAGGGAGACAGAATCAGAACGTCTCGCGAGAACGTTATTACAGAGTTCTAATCAGTTATGATAATGACACACAGCCAGTCATTTAACTTTCATCCAGCAAGTAAGATTACTCTCCTGATAAAGCTGTCAAGTGGCGACGAAACTTTCAGCAAGTCGAACGCCCCCCCTCTCCCCCTCCCCCTCGGTGAAGTAATGTTCTTGATTTTCTCAATTCTGACGCGGCATGATCTTAGTTCTGAATTCCAAGTGTGTCTCAGGCTAATTCGCCTGAGATAGAAATTTATCCCATGGTGCTGATCAGGTTAACCTCATTTGGACATCAGGTCCCAATAAGGTAATATTATCGGGTCCTAGTAAGTCATGTAACGCAGCGTGGATATCAGGACCTTAGTAAGGATTCATAGTCAGGCTCTTATTGAGTTACTTTGTGGAATCCTTATTACGTTTTTTTTTCAAATTATGGCTCCTGGTTACTCGCCACAGCTATATTGGATGATGAAATTAGAAATAAGAAATGACACGCTGAAAATTCTCTCATGTCATTTTCAAATAAAAAGATATTTGCATGAAATAATATTTTAGATCGCTTGAGCATACTTGTAAAATGTTTCAGAAAAGAAACATAAAATGAACATCATAAGATCATAAAGGATCACAAGGTGACAAGACATAAAGTAGCGTTAAAGAGAAAAGTTGCATGTCACGTTAATTTTACAACTATTTATTGACTGCTAAAAAAAGGATAGTTTCTATAGCATTTTACAAATATATTCAAGTGATCTGAAGTGTTTTTTTAATGCAAACATATTTGGAAATGACACCCAAAAATTGTTTTCTTAAAACTTGATAATGCAAATCATATTAGGTACAATGAATAAGATCCCGACAAGGACCTGATTAACTGAACCATATTATATCATACACTAGGTTGGTACATTAAGGTCCTAATGTGTGTTAATGTGGTACATTAAGGACCCAATTATTATAACCTTATAAAGGTCTTCCTTACTCATTTATCATCAGGACATTATAAGGACTGACTTACTTAAGATTACCTTTCATTCACTCTATTAGGTCCTTATCAATGTTAGGTGAATCTGATTCAAATTTCTAGCCGGGTAGCGCATGAATCTGAACGAAATTCTGATTGATGTCACGAGCGCGCGATTGGGTGATGAAAGCCGTAGCAGCGTGTGAACGAAGCACGCGACAGAAATCCCAGCCGGGCGAAAAGCGATGACACCGAACGGCCTATCGCGAAATAAATTGTTACGGTCAATTTGCGCGTCCACGCGTTCGCCGGGCCGACCAGCCGCGTTCGCAAGAGGCTCGCATGCGAAGGGTCTCTCGCGTGCGAAGGACCTCTCGCGTGCGCTCTACGACGTGGTGCGCCCGCGGCTTGCTGTAGCGCCGCTCCCGTGTCGCGTTAATCCCACGCGTAGCCAGTGAGCGAATCGTATTATCGCGATGAGGAAGCTCGCTCACGCACCTGTCCGCGTTCGAGCAGGTGAAAGACGCCGCGAGCAACATCGACAGCGCGTCGCGCGCGAGCCAGTCCGATGACGTCGTGGGGACGACGCGCGCGACTCAGGGTCAAGGCGACACGCAGCAGATCGTGCACACGGCAGTCCCCGAGTCACCGGCCGAGCCGGCGGAGGCTGTCCGGAAGGAGAAGGAGAGCGGAGTCGTCGGAGAGGCGGCCAACGTGTCCGTCGGCCTGCTGCACCAGCTGATCGCGGAACTGGAGAACAAGTCAACGGCGGCCAACGCCGCCAACAAAGCTGTCTCCGCTCCGACCAAGGAGCGTGTCGCGTGTTGGGAGGAGAAGGAAGAACGGTTCATCAGGATCATCGAACGCACTGGAAACCAGCTGGAGACGACGACGGACGTTCTCGGAGCGAGCGAGTCGACCGACTACCTCCGTGACGTCGAGCTGCGACATGAGGAACCGGCTGGTGAACTCAAGTCCCGGTCGAGCCAGCAAGCGGCATCCACCTCGAGGGAAAACTGCCTTGAAGAGGTGCGGATCGAGAGGTACGAGTCGAGCCCGCTGTCGGCGTCAAAGTCGCGGCGCGACGTCGTGGTGGAGGAGATCTTGACGATGGACGACGAAGTCGAGGCGCGAAAGGCGTCCGGAGAAGCGACGATGACGATGACTGCGACGATGAGGAAGAAGAAGAAGAGAGGCCTCGTTGGGAGGCTGAGGAAGTTCTTTCGCGCATTCTTCAGCCGGAAGAATTGACCCGGAGGAGGAGGAGGAGGAGGAGGAGGAGGAGGAGGCGCCGGCAAGAACGTTACCTCGCCACCTACGTTGCCTCGTAACGAAGTTCGAGGACGGATGCGCTCCGTCCGCGCGCGGGAGACAGCCCTCTTCATCGCGCGTTTTCGCGAGGGAGACACGTCGCAGGTCCGCGAATCAAGCGGGTAAAAATAACTAGGCCGCAGAGTTATCAGCCACGGTCTCCGCGACTTCGGCATCCTGCTCTTCGGCTCAGGCGCGACGCGTGACTCAGAGCCGGCGCGTTTCTTAGCTGGCGATCGCGGCAGCTCGCGTTGCTCGAGCCTGCAAAATTCTGTAAAATACAACATCTCACGGTTTAGTCGGCCTTGTTGAATTCTTCATTAAGTTATCAATTTTTGAGCGACTCTTGCGAGCCGAGTATGACGGGGACAATCACCGCAGACTGCTGTGACGTCGAAGGCCGACGCACACAGCCGAGAGTGTATTTTTGCCTGACGCGTCCACCGGGCGCGGTAGATCTGGCAACCCTGACGTAAGAAAGCATGTCGTAGCCGACGTCGAAGAGCCATTTATCGTAGCGACGATAGAACACCAGCCTGGTGCTCGCGCTCGCCCCTCGTACTGTTTTTGGACCAGGCGGCGTTGCCATGCCCGGTGCCTCTCGCAGGCCTGGTCCTCCTCTAGCGACTCTAGCGTATCCTGACCGTAGCGACATCTGCGGAAATAAAATGAGTAAATTTGGGAACACCCGGTACCACTCCTGGCTCAAACTCCGTTCGGTCAACATCCAGTGGCACTAGTCGATCGGCAATGGTAAGTCCTGGTTATCCGCTTTCTCTCATGAAACACCACAAGGATGTCTTCAGGAGGTTTCCTTTTTCATCCCCGGAATTTACCTTCCTCACGTCTCTCCCACTCGCGGTATTCTTTAAAAGTAGAAATCCTTCCAACTGATCGCCCGTCGATCGCTCTTGGGGTATTAATAGATGCGGTGCTTCATTTATGCGATATTAATGAAGTGCGAATAGAGATTATCCTCGTGAATTATTATCGGTAATAATGTCGGGCCAGCGGATCGTAATGTCGCAATAAAAGGATCTCCTCTTGCATTTCAGGCGGACCTCAGCGGCAAGGACGTCGAAAGTGAGTAGAACAATCTCTAAATAGTTTCGTCATATTTTCGACGCGTCCCGGGCATACCAGACGGATGTGCAATTAACGGAAACTTGCGTCAATCAGTGAAGTGTCCTCGCGTACGCGAAATTTTAGTAACATTTTTACCGATGTGTGACGCAAGCAAAAAAAGTGAGCAGGGTTCGGCCAGGAGAATCGGTAAGGAACTCCCATCGCGGTCAATCGACGGTAAAGTGCGCGTCAAGTTGTGCCGCGTAATCAACCCTCCGACACACCCCCTTACTGAATCATATTATCTCACTCGCTCTTATAATTCTTTCACCACAAGCGATCGAAATTTCAATCTGATTGGTAAAATGCTTGTGAGGCAAAAAACTTGTGAGAAAATATTCACTGCTCATAACGCCGAAAACTTTCCCTCTAGAATGAGATCAGCGTTCGTTCTCGGTATTGAACACTCGACAATCCGGAAATTGCATCCCTGCGATCCCCGTTAACATGAAAAAAAAAAGCTGAAGAAAGCTCCGTCTAATTCTGACGTCTAAGATTAACATTTCCAAATTCGCCGCAATTTTTCTCGACTCGCATCCGGCTGATTGGCGGATTCAGCGGATAATTTTCTCTGCCGCTACTTTTCGCTACTTTTCGCACTTGCGCACGTATTGCGTGCCATTTTTAACGTTACGTAACGACTCAGCGACGCGGGTAGGAGGATGCGACCAGTCTGTAGCACGTCAAAAATAGGTTGGTAGGCTGTTCTTATATGGTTCGTCGGGGGTAATCTGACCCACTACTTCCACCAGCGAGTTCCTCAATCGGCCGGCTGGTGGGGATTGCCGCGCGCGTCTCCCGAAATAGAAGAATATTTTTGAACTAGGTACGCAAGCGGTACTCTCCGTGCCTACGACTGGTATTAACCTAGATTTCGCATCTCGCGTATTTAAAGTGCGAGCGACACACCGATGAGCAACACCGAGACACCGAGCGTATCCAAGCCAAGATTCCTGTGGAATCGTCAAATTATCAGCCGGTTATCAAAGAACGCGTTTGCGAGAGTATCCGCGGTGGCGTGCTGCCGCATGTAACACAATGAGGAGACCCCATAAAGAAGCGTTGCTCTTTTCTTCTCCAAAAAGAGGCAGAATTCGCCTTCTCCATCTATGACTCGGACGGCACCAACGTCATCGACGCCGTCGACCTTGGCAACGTCCTTCGTGCCTTGAACTTGAACCCAACGAATGCCACCATCGAGAAGCTGGGCGGTACGAAGAAGAAGGGCGAGAAGAAGATGAAACTGGACGAATTCCTGCCCATCTTCAGCCAATGCAAAAAAGACAAGGAACAGGGATGCTACGAGGACTTCCTCGAGTGCTTGAAGCTGTACGACAAGCAGGAGAATGGAATGATGCTCAGCGCGGAATTGTCTCACACGCTTCTGTCGCTCGGTACGATCGACTTGCGATTACTCGAAACAGAATGAGAAATGATCATCTTTAATTTTACGTCGATTATAACGCACATGTCATTTTTGTCTCTCCTGAGTAACGTAACGTTATCTCGATAGAGGCTTCTCAGAGAGAGAAATGTTTTTTTGAATGAGAGAGATGTTTTAATCATAGACACTTTTTAAGTATTTAATCGTACGATTGTATTAATTGGCTAAATTATAGTGTTTCGATATTGCAGAGGGTATACGCATGTTTCACTTTCGATATAATTTTATGACGAAACTCTTCAGTCGCGCAGATATGTTCGTCAGAACCGCGCCACCGGCTGGGTTGGGAAGCAAAATCTTGAGAGGAAATCAGCTTCCAAGCGATCAACGTTAAATTCTTTACAGGTGAACGTCTCGCTGATCCGGAGTGCGAGCAAGTGCTGAAGGACTGCATGGATCCAGAGGACGAGGACGGTTTCATCCCCTATGCCCGTAAGTATCGATCTGCTGTTGCTCGAGAACCGTGAATGCGCCGCCTCCCCCCCCCCTCGGTCCCCATCCAGAATAGACAAAGAGTGTTAAATCATCCGCATCCGTGAGTCACGTTGACATAAAGCACGTTAGTTTGAACAGAAGACCCCTCGCCCCCAACTGTTCTGTAAGTTCCCCGAATTCGTTGGTAGTAGAAATTCACCCCTTGTATATTATAAGAGTACAATTGAAGGACTCGTCCAGCCCGCCCCCCTCCCCCTACCTCCTCACGGCTTCTCGCACTGATTCGTGATACGCACCCTCGATACGTTCCGGCAACGTGAAGAGATCGCCCGGCCCCGATTTATTCCCTTCCCATCGTTTGACTTTTCCACATTTTTGTGTTTCGCAGCCTTCTTGAAGAAGATGATGGTGCTGTTGTAAGCTGATCGAGGTGTTATCGAGACAAATAATCATTCATCGTGAGTAAATCCTGTAGTAGTGCGACTCCGTGCTTCTCCGCAACTTGTCCGCTTTCTGTCTGTCTGTCTGTCTGTCTGTTTGTCTCTCTCTCTCTCTCTCTCTCTCTCTCTCTCTCTCTCTCTCTCTCTCTCTCTCTCTCTCTCTCTCTCTCTCTCTCTCTCTCTCTCTCCTTCTCTCTGCACCTATTAACGTCGTCGGTTCATCCGTCTTTTGTCGTCGAGCACACCTCAGAATTTATAGGACGCAACGTTGCAGTTCAACAGGGATGCTGAAATCGATAACTCGCTTCTCGCGCGGAAACGCATACAAAGGTTTGCTCGCGCACGAGGTCGACGACTCGACGAGATCATTGAAATGAATGACACGGATATGCTTTTTGTAACGTTTCTCTCTCGGTCGAGTTGTGTATTACATTCCTGCAGAAATTTCACTGTAAATTGCTGCACAGGCTAAAGTATCACGCTATCTATTTCAACGCCACGCGCCGAAAATTTAATATTTGCAATAGAAATATACGCGAGAAACGTCTGAGTTTATTAAATCTGCTTGAGAAAATACGTAGTAAACAAAATATTTTAGAATAAAATATTTTCCATCCATAGATCGAAGACGCGCGTGCAGAACGGTTGATTATTTTCCGACACATCCGTCGAGTCCGAGACGTTCACACGTCCTTTTTCTTTCGTTTCGCGAAGACGATGTCTGCCAATGCCTCGCAGCCTGATCATTGTACGCAAATGATTGATGCTTCATTGTACAAGTATACGTGTATCACTGTGACGTACTTGTCGCTTTGCTACTGTCTGAAGCAAGCCGGCGTGGCGGCACAAAACCGAACGTTCGCCGCCCAGATTGTTCGAAGGTGGTACGATTGAGTCGTCCGGCAGCGACGTGAACGAAGTTACACGCAGACTAATTTTCGATCTCCGCCTTTAAGTGTACGTTCTCGCCGTCTTCTACGTGAACGTAGGCTTGGCCGTGTTCTGTCGACACGCTTTTGCGCGTCTTTCTTTCACCCTTCCGCGCAGGCGAATGTAATGACAGTCCCGTTTTGTTCGCAGCGTTCCTTCGTAGACTGTGCGAGAGGGCGGCAGCGACTGACGACAATGAATGAACAACAACAAGATCGCCGTGCGATCGGCATCCACCCGCCACGCTTCACACACATCGACGAAGGACACACATCTGCCATATATTCGTTTCGTCACATTCGCCACACTTCTCATCCCCCTCTCTCCCGTTCGCTCATCGCTCGCGGTTACGCGAGGACTCACTTTACAGTTTGCACGTGATTCGCAATCGGATTCGATCTTCGAAATCAGCATCGTCGAGACGTCAGCGTACATACATCTCACGGAAAAGGGAAAGCGGAAAGGAGGAAAAAAGCCTTCCCTCCCTCCCCCGCCAACATCGAGTACAAAAGGAAACGAGAAAAGTACGACGACCTGACATTTCATTTCGAGCGCATGCCACGTCGTTATTTCATTCGGTTTCACACACTGTTGCGACGCGCAATATTATCACGTTATAAGCATGCGGTATACAAGATGTCTTTAATAGAGAGCGGCATTGTACAAAACCGAATGAAACGGTCGGTGTTAATTTACTTCTTACTGTTACTGTAATAAATCGTTCCTCTCGGAATACCAGAGAGGGTTAAAAGTTAGTTGTCGATGACTATTATTTCGAGAATATCCCACGCCGGAGAAATTACATCCTCCCCTCCCCCCCCTATGGGTGGCTCGGCGAGCAAATCGTGACGGCCGAATGGTCAATACAGATCTTGCGGCGGAGTTGGGGTAATTGCTCTTGAGGAGTAACTCGTTACCGTTACCGTTACAATTTCGCTATAACTACTTCCAAGTTCTGATGATCCTTTCTCTAGGATTCGCTTCTGCCCGTTCTGCGTGTTCAGCGGGTGCAAAGTAACTGTTATACTTGTCACTCGGAAGTCGTCATTCCGAAGGAACGCAATCGCGTTACTTTCACCGATGGAAGAAAGACAGTAACCAAATCGTCACCAAGTGGAATCTGAAAGAAACGCCAGTAGCTTTGCAAGTAACGCGTTACTTGCCAACCCCGCTTCACAGCATACAGCAACTACTTTGGTGTCTGACCGACACCTTCTTGCTCTACTTGAGCGCGAGTCCTCGAGAAAGCAAGACAGACGGACAGACAGACAGAGAGAGAGAGAGAGAGAGAGAGAGAGAGAGAGAGAGAGAAAAAGAGGAACGACAAATACCGCCACTGTCGAGAGCCAGCCGACAATTAAGCACGCAACGCACCGCCATTCCGGGCTCAGAGAGCGCCGATAAGATTTCACTCGGAAGAGAATTCGAGTCGCGCGCGGGGTTAATCGGGGTTAATCGGAGTTAAACATCCGGACGACACTCCGGAGCGATGCGCTGTCCGGTCGGACAGTCGGCCGGTTGTCTCCGAGCCTCCCGAAGAATAATCCAATCTGCTCGATCTAACGAGCAATACGCTCGCCGCACACACACACACACACACACTCACACACACAAAGCCGCGAGGCGCCGGCGGTCCAACTTATCGCGGCACAGCATCCGCCGCGGGCTCGATCGATAAATCACGCGCGTCGTCGGCCGCGGATTTCAATCGCACGCAATCTCGCGCGCGTCGTCATCGCGTACCTGCCGATCTGCCGCCGCCACTGCCACCGCCGCCGCCGCCGCCGCCGCCGCCGCCGCTGATGATGAAGCCGCGCGTCGCGCGTCGTGGGTGGACGACGCGCTCGCGTTCGTACGCGCTCGGCAGGCTTCGCAGAGGCAGGCGTGGGGCCTCCGCTCGGTCCCGGCGGCCGCGCGGCAGTCAGTTGAAACGCGTCTTGAGCGCCGCGTGCCACGAGTTGTCCCCGCAGTGTCGTCGAGGTCCGTCGTTGTCGCGAGCAGAGAGTTGCCGCTTCCCCGTTCTCTCGGCGTATTTACACGCGCGCGTGTAACCGGGCCGGTTCGACGTGGTCGGCGCAGCGCGCGCGCGCGGCGTGTCGCAGCAGCAGCAGCGGGAAGCGCTGCTTGGGAAGCGAGAGCTCGGACGACGAAGGGACGAGCGACGTAGCGCCGCCAGGTAGACCGCCGCCGACCACCGCCTAGATCGCCGAGGATGACGGACGTGCAGGTGAACCCGGGCAAGGACGAAGCCAGCGGCAGGCTGCAACAGAACGACGCGACCGCGCAGCTAACAGGTTGGTCCCGCCGCGCACACGCGCTTCCGCGGCCCGACGTTATTTTCGCGAGCGAGCAACCTTGAGGCGCGGCGCGAGGGTGGTCCATGGATCCGCGAGTAGCGCGAGCGAAAGAGCGAGAGAGAGAGAGAGAGAGAGAGAGAGAGAGAGAGAGAGAGAGTGAGCGAGAGGGGGAGAAGGAGAGCGCGCGCGTCCGTGTTTCCGCCATTTTTACTCGAGGCGCGTAGCGACGACGATCTCGAGGAAAAATCATCGCTTTCCCGGCTCTCGTATTGTCCGGGCGCAGCGCTGATCTTCTCACGCGATCGTGCTGAACCGCCGCGCCGACGTAAGGGACGCGCCGCTCTCTCGCCTGCCGTGCGCGACGCACCGGGTGTGCAGCCGCGAGAAGAGCGCGCGCGTTTCCCCGACGACAAGGTCGATCACCGAGAGATTGATGACTATGATGCCTCGCGATGTCACCCTCTGCGAGTGGTCGTCGAGACGAGCTGAGGCACGATCGAGTGCCGTAGTCTTGAATCTCCCTCTGACGATTGGGACTACCCTGAGGTCTGATCTTCTCGTCTTTTTCTTTCTTTTTCTTCTGGCTGAACTAGCCTGTACTTTTCTGTTGGAGTGCGTTAGAGTGAAGCGAATACGTGATCCGAAGTTGGAGGAAAGAGGAACAAAGTTCCGAGTGCAACGCTACTTCGGCTGGGGAGAAAACAGGCTTCTGGGTAATAACGGGCAGACTCGGATGATATGTAGGACAACCTCATCTGCCAACTTTCTGGAAACGTCCATGGAACTCTTCTAACGATTCGCAGGGAAAATATGTCAGTTCTCTCTCTCGTGCAACTGAATCGCGACCAGGCGAACATTCGATGACGAGGAATGATGATGATGACGATGACAATGAATGGTGACTTTATTTTGTGAAAAATACACGAATGAAAATGCTAATTTATAAAAGATATTTTGGACGTATGTCCAAAAGCGTGAAGCAGCAGCAAGAATGTTGCAGCAGCAGCAAGAATGTTCCAAGACCTAGCCCGAATAAAATGAATGCGAAATTAAGTTGAATTTGCAAAACGAGGCAGACGAGGAAAAGACGAAGCAAAATAATGAAGGGAAGGAGGAGCTTTTAAAATTGCAGAAAGACGTACACTAGTAGCAGCGAAGCGGAATACGACCTACTTTATTGCCGCGAGCGAGAGAAATTCGTCTGAACGTTCGGAGTTGCATCAACTCGAGCGATTTTTACTCGTCTTTGGGACGTTTTCGTACATATCAAAGGGTAGACTGAAGCAAATGTGAAACTCCGCCGTGCCACATTACGATGACTTCGTAATAGAGATGAGAGAATCACGGATTTTCTGTATCAAGTCGAGAGAATCGAGAGAATTTTCATCCGAATCGAACCGAATCCGATTGAGTCGTTGAGTCGTTAATTTTTAATTAACAACATAATTGCTGACATAGCCCCTGGAGTCAGTCGCTAGATATTGTCGTGAGTAATTTTAAACTACGAGCAATATTTGAACGTACGATAACACACGCGCCGAGTATTTCTCGGGCTTGCAGTAAATCAACCTCCCAAAAACTATCTTGAATTATAATTATTAATATTACAACTCCACTATTTCTTATTAAATTTTGCGTTCCGTTGATTCCCTTGAAAAATACTGTCCCAGCTAGGAATCAAGTCTAAACCTCCCTACTTGCCGAATGTTAAATTTAATTTTTCGCTATTCCAAATGTTCGAATCGTTCGGATTCTAAAGTATTCGATTCGAGTTCGAGTAATTCGCACGACTCAATTTCCTAAATTGCAAGGGTTAAAACTCGGTCGAAAAAAAGAACTGAAAACAGTCGATCGGTCGGAGGCTTCCTGCAAGAATCTTTCAGTTGCTGCAACCGATGCCTTTCACTTTTTCTTCCCTTTATATCGCCTTATTTCAATGAAGACGCTCTCCTCGACATGTACGAATTACACATCGAACTCTCTCTCTCTCTCTCTCTCTCTCTCTCGCGAATTAGTCGGCGCTAATTAAGGCGGCTGAATCTGATCCTCTCTCCTGCTTCCAGCTGATTTACGCTCAACTTCCGCGTCATTTGCGGCGAAACGCAATCTTTGCAATTTGTTACGTTACGTCACGCGTACCGTACGCGTCTTGCGCAGCAGAGGCGCTTATATTTACGAGATTGCGTCGCGCAACAGCCCGTGAATTCGTCACGCGTAGGACTTCGCGTTCAAAGTGACGCGCAGACGAATCCGATGTTGTCCGGCAAAAATCTCGCGTTTCAAGAGCGAGGATTTGCTTTATCCGTAGCTTCCACGTGCATCAACGATGATTTAGCGGCCGGCCTTTAGTCGGAGCTAAATCGAACAAGTAGAAGCGCGCCGCTCCGTTTCTTGGCTCGATCGCGATCATTCCGATTCGCCGGGAACGTCGCACCTCCGACAAATAATCCCGCCGCTTGTCAACAAGTCGTCAACAAGTTACTCCCCCGTTCACCGTGCGGACGAAACGGAACGATGCGCGTAATGTCCGACAAAAATGGCGAACGTTTCGGTGAATGACGACTATTTTCGTGCACGGAGGGACCACGCCTAACGGGTAAACTTCGGGAGACGTCAGACGCCGATTTGTTTCCAATTTTTTATAGTTATTTTTTATGTCAAAATATGAAGAAATCCATTATCATTTTTAGCTTAAATTAATTTTTTCAATTTTTCCGAAATTTTTCAAGTTTGGCACAAGTACACTGTTTTATACATATTTAAAACAATATAATTCTTAAAAATATATCTGATTTGTTGAAACTTGCACGCACACACATGTCGCCGATTATGAGTCAGAACCATTTTGTAAAATTCAAAATGGCGGATCTAATATGGCTGACGTCATTGTTGAAAAAGTGTTCAGTTTTACGCAACATTCGACTTTGGAAAAATAAAAAAAATATTCAAGAAATATATAAAATGACAAACAAGTACGTGAGTTTTTAGTTTTTACCTAGATTTAGTTAATTAGTACGTAGATTTTAGTTTTTAGTTTTTAGTTTTTCTGTTGCGTAACTTAGCGAATAACTTAAGAATTATTAGCAAGTGTGAACTCGATTCCTCTGTTTTGATTTACTCTTCTGTAGTTCCC